CTGTTTCTGCCTCAGCATCCAGTGTGGAGCCTGCTACAGAACAGGCAGCTGATAAATAAACGGCTGCTTTGCTTCTCTTCACACGGATAGTACCCGCTGCATTTGCTTTACTGGCTCATCAAAAGTGTTTTTAAAATCAGATGGCATATAAACAGGCAGAAATTACTATGGTGATGTTTATTGAGTTCTTTGACATCTGAAAGTGGTGAGGGCAGTCTTATTAAAATGAACCAAAACAAAGACCATTAATATATTATGCACGTTAAAATACTGCCATAAAACACAACCAAAACACAAATGGGGCTTCCTAGAGAAAATGTTTACAGTTATATTTTCCAAACTGTGGGCCAGGGACTCTGGTGGGTGTGGTGTTATGGCAAGGGGTCCAACACTCCATGTGTATACCAGGCATTGTTTATAGACTAAATAAATGATTCAGATTTATAAGTATTATTTTTCAAGTGAATGTGGCTTATAAAATGCAGTTTCATTGAAAAGTATTACTGAACTTTTTGTTGCTTTTCAGTTTCTGAAGTAGATACAGGAACTCATCATACTTTTAGGCATTGGGCACTGATCTTTTGTTGGCCGATAAAGTGGCTGTGAGGCAGTTAGCTGATGGCTTCTGAGTTTTTCGCGACATCTTCCATTTCACAGCACGTCCACTGTGATGCTGCTGCAGCCTATAGAGGTTTCTAGAACTCCAATGAGCTTAACTACCACTCACTGGATGAAGCCAGCAACATAAGTCTAAATCCTGGACACCAAGCGGGGTGCCCACTTTGTTCCCATTGCTGGATGATGCTCCTGAGGTTTTTTTTTCCCAACAAATTTTGAAAAAAAAAAGAAAATTCCAAAACGGAAAAAAGAAAGGGCCGGAACTCCAAAAAAAACCCAAAACAAGTGGTAACAAAAGGTTTTGGAATTCAACAACCAAGAAAATTTTTTTAAAACCCCCCCCAAAATCCAAAGCAAAGCCTACCCTACTCAACTCCAAATCTTCTCAGGACTAAGAACAAAATCTGAAAACTTTTCCTTTGGCCAAACTAAAACATTTAATCAAATTAATGGCCATCCATTCTCAGCATCAGTTTTCAAATACATTATAACACTAAAATGTGGGCATGGCATCTCCAAATAAGACTAACTTCAAATGAGCTTTTATGGAAAACTCACCCTGCCATCCTTTGTGGTCACTATGGGTAACTGTGGCCTGTGCTGGCTGACAGGCCCCAGTTATGAATGGCTATTCCAGTGAGGAGGAGTGTGAGATGAGGGAAGAGTGTCAGACTGAAGGCTAACCTGTTTCTTTCTGCTCCAGTGATGCCTTCTAGCCCTAAATCCTTCCGTGTTTCAACTGCTATCTCTCTTATTAAATGGACTTAATTATAAATGATAGCCAGAAATCGTGGAGCATGGGTGCAGTGCTGAATACTTTGGGCAGACCACGATGCTGCTGATCACCACCCTCATGGCTCACTTGGTAAATTTACTTTGAGCTTTGGAAATGAGGATGGCTATTTTTTGGGGGGAAGGCAACATTTTATCAAATTGTTATTGTTACAGAACATGGACTTAGTTGCCTAAGAAAAAATAAAAACATGTATTCAAGCTGGTGAGATACAATTTAAAAGAAAACCAACATTGTAAAGTATTTTAAATGCAAATTTATGAGAACTCATTTTGAAAACACTTATTGTATCTTAACAACTGGAACTTGTGATATTCTAGATAATTCACAATGACTATGACACCTTAGGCATTTCTTAGCATCTGCTTCAATTCTGTACCTGTACCTGGAACCAGTGCCCTGTATCTTTTATAAGGGACTTCAGGAATCTGCAACTAAGCACCATGGAACCCCAAAATGGTTTTGCTCCTGGGAAGGTTAAGACTTTGACCCTGTCTATTTAGCATGAATTACACCATATCCTTAATCTCACCAGATTTGTGAAAAGACACAGAAAATAATAGAGGAACAAAAAATTGTTTCACTGTTATATTGCTTCATATTACATCATTTCATTATCTTCTTTCTTTATTTTCTTAAAAGATTTCTTTTATTAAGTGAGCAGGAAAATACATGATTAAACAAATTGAAACTACAAGGTGTGCCCTTTACAAAACTGAGTGAAACAATAAATTCATGAGAAGGCATGTGTCCATTTCCTACAATGAAATTTCATGCAACATTCAGTGGAGCTGAATATATACAGATGTTAGAGCCTGCCCATGGAGGCAGAACTGTGGTCACTTGGAAGATTGTTAAGACTCAAATGTTATTAGGCTTTCTTAAAGCTGCATTTGGCAGGAAGGTACTTTCACTGTTGTTTACTTCTTGTTTTAGGGAAAAAAATATTGTGGTTTTTAAGAATTTAGACCAAAAAACAAAATTCAGAATCCTTCCCCAACATCCAATAACTCTGCACTTATTGCAATGCCAAGAGCTTAAAATGGATCATTATTTATAAAACTGTTAGAGTTTTGATATGCTGCTTTTTTCAAGGTTGTATATGATAGCCTCTCTTCCAATCCTGCAACTTGGCCTGTTACGATGATTCATGGAGCAAGAAAGTATAGCCAGTCATACCGGATGTGTTCCATCTACAATAGCCTTCCAGGAGAGAAAATCTATAAGGTTTTCCTATTTTCTATATGAAAGCAAACCTATGCTTTTATGACACACGCTTTGGAGACAACTTTTTGTCTTGATATGGAAATGAAAACAACCATATAGTTTTATGCTATTTTTAAAAATTCCCAAACTTCGTTATCGTTTATTTTCATTTATTCTTTCATCCAACGAATACTGATTGACTACTGTTTGCCAAGCATTCTTCAAAGCACTGGAGACAGACCAGTGAGCAAAGTAGATGGTGATAAGTACTATCAAAGACAATAAAGCAGAAAATGAGTGGAAGATTAGAGGTTATTTGGTATAGGTCTCTACAGAGACCTAAACGAAGAGAGGGAGCAAGCCATGCAGACATTATGGGGAAGGTTCAGATGGAGTAACGCCAAGGGCAATGTGGTGAGACAGGAGCATGCGTGTAGGGTTTCTAGGTGAAGCGAGGAGGCCAGTGTGGCTGGATCCAAGTGAACGAAGGGAAATAGTATATGAAATCAGAGAGGTGACGGTGGTGGTTGGGTGGGGCAAAAGGTAGGGAAGATTATTGCAGTGGTCTTATAGGTCTTATAGGTCACTGAAGGATGTTGATGTTTTAGGTGGGGTGGGAAGGCATTGAGGGATGTAGCAGAAAAGTGGTGTAAATTGGTGTATGTTTTGAAAGCATCATCTCAGGCAAGAAGTGGCTTGAACCCAGATTGGGTTGTGGATATATTCTCAAGCTAGGGAAAACAAAGTTTTAAAGAAATGGATTGGATGTGGTACGTGAAAGAGAAAAATTAAGGGTAATAACAAGATTTTCTGATGTGGAAGAATGAAACCACCATGTACCAACATAGGACTGTAGTGGGAGTACTGAGGGAGATTAGTTCCATGACCCACAGCAGATTCCTGAAACAGTGGGTAATACCAAACCCTAGAGATACTAGGCCTTTTCTTATGCATTCATACAGGCATGTGATAAAGTTTATTTCATGAATTAGGCACAGTATCCTTGTGCTTTGGGGCCACTGATAAGTAAAATAAGGGTTACCTGAACACGGCACTGCAACAGCATGACAGTCAATCTGATACCCGACACAGCAACTCAGTGACTGATGGGTGGGTAGCGTGCACAGTGTGGATACGCTGGACAAAGGGATGATGCACGTCATGAGTGGGGTGAAGTAGGATTGTGTGCGATTTCACTGAGCCACTCAGAACAGTGGGCAATTTAAAACTCATGAATTATTTCTGGATTTTTCCATTTAATATTTTCAGACCACAGCAACCTCAGGTAACGGAAACCGAGGAAAGCGAAACTACAGGTGGGGGAGACAACTGTATATTGGTGGGTGGGGTGCAAATTAGCTTAGTTTTGGCCATGTCAAGTTTGGGATGCCAATCACACATCCAAATGACGATGCAGGTAGGAAACTAGACGTACAAATCTGACATTCAGGAAGGAGGTTGGGGCTGGAGATAAAAATGTGGGTGTTGTCATTGTGTGGACAGTTTTTAAAGCCCAGAGACTGGAAGAAATTACTTAGAGAGGGGATGCCCAGGACTGAGGCACTCCAGGAACTCAGCAAAGGAGACTGATGAATGGCCAGGGAGGTGAAAGAACAAGAGAAAAATGTCCCAGAACTGAGAAAAAGTGTTTCAAGAAGGAAGTAGTTATTAATGTGTCAAAGGCTGCAGGTAAGTCAAGCAGCATGAAGCCAGAGACCTGACCGTCTCATCTGACAGCATGGAGCTCACTGATGTCCTTAGCAAGAGCCACTATGGTGTGGATGAAAGCCTGATTTGTGTTGGTTCAAAAGACCCAGGGAGGAGAGGAATCTGGGGCAGTAAGTACACACAGTTCTTCCTGGGGAGTTTTTCTGTGAGAGAAGCAAAAATGGTAGCTAGAGGAGGTGTGGGGCCAAAGAGGGTGTTTATGAGACAGGAGCTATTGCAGTGTGAATGTAGTGAAATCCTCCAGCGGATAGGGAAACATCTGTGGTGCAGAAAAGAGAGGGATTGATTTCTGGGGCAATAGCTTTCATTTGGTGAAGTTGGATGGGCTCTACTTAGAGCAAATAAGAAGAATTGCCTACTGTCCCTGGAGAAGCTGATGTAGTAGATGGTAGTAAGTTTCACTGGGCAAGATTAGGAAACTGAGAAGTAAGGATATTGTAGGATTGCGGATATTGAAATCATCAAGAATTAAGAAAGGGTGGCGGTGGAGAGAACAACAGTGAACCAAAGGCTAAACTACTTGAGCAATGAGGGGGAGTGACAGAGGGTAGTACGGAGACTTGATAGGCTGATGGCAAGAGCTTCAAAGCAGTGGGTGTTAGGAGGAGGGAGGGACAATTAATAGTCTGGAAGTGGCAATGAGGAACAAACAGGCATCCCTCTATTAATGTTTTATTATTCACATTTTGACAGAGATAATATAATATATTCCAGCGCATGGCATTAACTGTATGGGAAAACCTTGGCTTAGAGCCTACCAAAGCATTTCTAACTACTGCTTGAAACGACTATAGAAGGTGCTTCCTGAATGATTTATGTTGCAGGGAAAAAAAATACTTGAAAGTAACCAAAAGTTTTAGACTGGAAAATATGCCGGGGAGATTTTCTTCTTTTTTCCTCACTCAAGTGAGACTATATCCAGTTTTAGCTAGATTTTTGAATTTAAAACACTTTTCAAAACTGGAGATTTAAAAAATATAAACAATTGCAGGCACAGCAAAATGAATTTTCTCTTCTAATATTATAGATTTGGCATCTCTCTACAGTAGCGTTAACATTATAAGTAAGGCAGTTAAAACATCCAAAAATAGTTTTACAACATCCAATTTTAAATCATCCAAGCTGTCATCTTTTTTTTTTTTTTTCCCCTCCTGAAATTCTGACTCAGGGTAATGTCTGAGATTTTTTAAATGAACCATAAGTATTACTATTTCTTAACACTAATCCCAGGGGAAAAGGTAAGGGAAAGGGCCATCTGGGGCATGGGTATGTGTTATGTACAAATAATGATTCATTACTGGAAATGAAGACTCACCTGCCCACCAGCATTTGCTCAGACTCAATAGTGCAATGCGCTCAGTAGTGCAACTTGGTGCTGATAAAAATCAACCATCACAATCAAACCCTATCATGCAAAGAGTGAGTGAGTTTGAAGATATCTACACAAACTAAAAATCTAGAAACTTTAGAATGTCTGCATTTTTAACTATATTTTCTAGTTTTTATCCAAATATTTGTCATCATGGATACAGAGTTCAAGATTTTGATCTGAATTTAAAATAGCTCAAATCTTATCCAGGGATTTTTGTTTAAAAATGCTCCTATTGGGATTTTTATCTTGTTGTATTCTGGCACTTCCTGAAATAGGCGGTCTAGAAGAATAAAGTTCAAAGTACAGGGTCATGTTCTCACACTGTTTAATGCTATGCAAATTGTTGAATATTCTAGTTATCTATGGGAAAACTCCCAGAAAAATGATACAGTATAGAAATCAAAACAACACTAGAAAATGTTTGGTAGAAATATACAAATTGTCAACTTTGAGCTTGCGAATTCACAAGAGGTTTTCTTCCTTGCTGAGGCTCCTGAAAAAAGAACACTTTATGCCCATTTTATCTGAGACCCAGAGACAGCTCACTCCAGGGTTCCTGATATTGCTATACGGACCAAGGCCAAAATGTAGTGTGGCATTTATGAGACATATTATTGGCAGGTAAATTAAATCAAATTTAGACTTTTGAATTTTAGATTTATGGTGCAACTATATAGTCTCAGGGGAGGTCAACTTTTGGTTGGCTGGTTGGTTATGTTATGTTTTGTTTGATTTGGTTAGATTTAAATGTTTAAGGAATAACCTAAAAGATAACTAGTAATATACTGAAACTGTTAAGATGGTCAGAACATAGTATCAGAGGAGATTTTGGAATATAAAGAGCATGGTAGGGTCATTCAGAATTGTCATTAGCATGTTGTGGATTTTCTCATGTTTTCCTGTAGTAGGTTAAAATTAAATTTTGATCAATAACTATCTTCTTTCTTAAAAATGATGTAGCACATCTTACAATCTTAAAGCAATCAGCACAAATGCAAGTGATGCCTGTTCAAGCAGACTTTCAAAGACAGCACACACTATTAACACAAAGAGCTGTTTCACATTTCAAAAATACAGTGACGAGAACTGGTACACATAGTAGTAGCATTTTCTTTAACTTCAAGGAATATGAGACATTAGCCGCTTCCTTTTCTGCCAGTGGACAAAACCAAAGTGGCTCTGGCCTGAATTTCACATCTTTCTAATCTACTGCACAGGAGGGACCAGAGACAGCAATTGCCAATGAGTCACAAGAGCAGACAAAAAATTGTTAGTAGGTTTCGACAACCGGGAATTAAGACGTTTTTTAAAAAATGTGTACTTGATGCAAGTTATGTTAGGAGTGCCTTAGAAAAACAATGTCAAAGTGTTAGAAAAATGGAGAACCTGTCCAAGTGGCCTTGTGAGATTTTATCCATATCTTATCTACCCTGTTGAATAAATAATAGTTCTAGGTCTTCTTGAAGCATTGTTTAGAAGTCTCCAAGAAAAATAATGATACCTATCTAAATAGAGCCATTAGATTTTATGTGGAACTTGGTGCATGCTGTCTTCTTTGGGCACTGCGTGCTTGCTATGACAATGGTCTGACTGGAACTGGCAGGGGGAAGACTCATTATTCGAAGGAACCTTATTGGTCATCCATTCCTACCACTGACTAGATGCAGGAATCCATGCTGCAACATCTGGCACCCAGGGATGATGGTCACCTGCCAGACTCCAGACCAAATCTACAGTGTGAACAGGCTCAGTGGATTTGACTGGATGGTGACCAATTTAGAGCAGTAAGAACTGGCAGATCTAGTGAAACTTATTTGGGGGGAGGGCTCAGTTTCTCCAGTTTCTCTTTGTAGGAAAAATAATAATAAAATGAGCCAATTTTCAGAGATAAAATCACCTATAAAAAGATAAAAACTAAAGATATTTTTTATGGAGATACTATAAAATAGATGAAAAGCAACCTTCCCCCCAAAAAGTAATTAAAGCAAACCAAAAAGTTTGGAATTGTATAAACCACAAGGACACCATTCTGATATATTTTGTATGACTTAGGCCTCCTTGTGTCAGGGCTAGGTCTGTCCTGCTGGAGAAAAGTGTATTTTTGAAGATAAAAGCTTCAAGGAATTTTTAAAATGCATTTTAAGAAGCAATGATTTTGGGGGGGCCCTTTTAAATATTGGTTTTGCCTTGTATTCAGTGTAAAATATTTGTACAAAAATATAAAAGGCATAGCTTGATGTTTAACGTCTGTGTTTTATTGTTGTTGGCACCAGAAAAGCTCATGTTCTATGTTATGTCACTGTACATACTGTAAACAAGACTGCATTAATATTGTTTTCTTATGATTTTTTTTGTTTCAATGAATCTAGATTTTAAAAAATACATTCACAAACTACCTTATGTTGAAACACAATGATTCCCTTTTATTTCTTAACTGTACCCAAAATCCCACAATAAAAAAATCATTTAAAGCTGTGTGTTTCAGACTTATCACTTAGAAATAAAAACAAAACAAAACATAAAAACAAAGATCAGTTTGCAACATAATTTAAAGAAGCTTCTGGTTTAAAATACCACAGCAGCAATATAAAGAGCTGGGGGCAATCACATTCGGGGACCAAACCCAAATCAATATATTTTGTCCACTTCAGCATCCAATTACAGTAGTTGCTATATTCAATCCAAAAAGTAATTGCTGAATTTTTTGCATGGAATTTGTGAAGAAAGTGTTGTTCGGAGCAGAACAATAGCAGTAAAAATGAGAACGGGAGGATTTCATTGCTTTGAGAGCTAATGGGACCATAATGAGGAGATCTTGGTGATTGCTTGAAGATAATCCTCAGTGACATTCCTGGGTGTTACCTGCTTAAAATAAGTGCAAACGACAACTACCTTTCCAGGAGGGGCATAATGATCTACCTCAGAAACCAAAATCTTTCCCCGTCTCTTCCCCTCCTTGCCCAAACCACTAGATTGAAATGGCTCCATTTTTGTAATGGGTATTACGTTCTCATTAATAGTACATCAGCTGCTCATGTATTTAGGCAAAATCAATAGGATCATAGGTGTTCTTTTTCTTGGATCCAATTACAATAATCGTTTTCTCTAGAAATAAGCCACATCGGTTTTTGTCATTAAATTTTTTCTCCCAAATTTTTTTAAGAGGATAATTTGTTCAACTACTGTTTGGTTTTAAAAATATGGAATATACCTGAGATTGCCAGTTGAGCTCTCTATATGTCTCCTGGAGATAACACTGCTGTGATGGACAGTGAAACAAAAACAAACAAAACGAGGTAGGTTAAAACAGGAAGCGCAACACAGATATCGTTTTGCAACACCTCGGTACCACAGGCGGCCATGCTTGTAGCTTTGGAAAAAAATTCCAGACAGTCACGTAAAAGTTCAAATCATTCGAGTAAGAGTTTATAAGGACACAAGTCAACCTGAACTAAATACATACATATCTCTACACAAATGTTGTTTACCGTATGTTGGGTAATTTGGAGGAAGGTAAAGTGATTGGGGTCTCAGAATTTTGGCCAAAGCCTTGCTTTCAAGTTCTTTAAAATCTGAGCCAGTGATGCCTCCTGTATCTGAGGCAGGCTTAGGAGTCTAGTCCCTTCTCTCACCCACCCAGGGAGAACACAGGCAGCTCAGAAACATTTATTATTAATTTTTTTTTTCAGTCACAGTTTTCATCTTGAGAAAGTGGCACCCTCCGGAGAGAGCTGGGAATGTCCAGAGCCTGGATGTCGTTCATGCCCAAATTCCCAGAAAGAGCTCAACAAAAATCTCAGTCCTAATGAAGCCGAAACCCAGCGGAGGCCTTGTGCATTTGAAAGTGGAATACATATGCTTATTTCCCAGGAGGTCCTTCTGTCTGACCCCATCTGTCTTCCCATCTTTTGCCCCGATCTGCTGCACAGTAGCCGAGGGAAAGTTGTGTTACACAGTCCCTCAATCGCTAGGCCAGCTCAACGCGATGGCAGTACTATCCCATTCAACACAATCCATTCCATAAAGGGCCATATAAAAATACGGCCTGTCAGACTCACAAAAGTGGTAGTCGATTTTATTAGACTAAGGCTAGTAGTTTAGCCATTTAAAAGCTATTTCCCAAAAGAGGGGAAAACTAGTATCTTTCTTCTCTTAAAAATTCATTAGCCAGTTGCCATCAAAAAGCAACCTTTTGGGTTGGTGAAGGCAAGAGCGTCCTTAAATTACCCCACTATGCAGTTTTGACCTTCAGCGTAAGGAGATAAGGTACATTTATTGTGCTGTCTCTCACCACTGGAAATTGGAAATTTTACAACATACCGTATACTTAAAGCTAGCAGGCAGACGGAATTAAAAACAGACTCATTTTCTCAGTATGCATTCTCTCCCCATTCTTACAGAGTAAGAGGGTATAAAGAAAAAAGGTAAAAAAAGAAAAAAAAAACAAAACCTCAAAACCCCACTATAACACAGCTTAATCATAAGAGCACACAATATTTGTTTTTATCCCTAACTCCGAAGGGCACATGGTCCATCTCTGTCCACAGACAAGGCAGCATTCTTGGGAATCTCCTGGAAATTCCTGCCACCTTTTTCTCTCCTTCTCAACCAGGCTGCAACATTGAAAGATGGACTGTGCTGGGACGGGTGGAGGGAGAGGAAAAGGGGAAAGCGATATGTTCAACCAAGCCTTCTGATTCTGCCTCTAGACTGGCATAAGTCCACATGAGTTATGTTCTTTTAAATTAGAAATAACGCCATGAAGATAAGTGCCAAGTGCTCTTCTGTTACCAGTTCATCATGGAATTTCTGTTGAGGGTCATGAAAAACACTTGGCTACTTCCTCCAGATCGCACGGATGCAAAAAATACCTGTTTGAAATTAAAAAGAAGTTAGTTCAACTGCATGGTTTTTTCCCCTCTTTTCTTCAACCGTCCATCCATTTTCTCTCACCTGTCCTATCCTTGCTATGTGTCAGCTCTTAAGACTTAATGGCTGGTGTTTATAAAGTGCCTTTTGATGTGGTACATCCTCTGCAAATGCTCCTGCCTTTATTATTATGGTTGTTATTATCACTTATTGTGGTACTGGCCTCTAGGAACACCGAAGGGGCTATATCTTGATCTGTAACGTCCTTTTAGGTGGGCTACATTCTGAAAGGGAGTTTCGTGCTAAAATAACGTGCTGTTTTTCTGGCCTAGGACACAACAGGTCCTTTGTTAACTTCTATAAAGGCACAGAGTCTCCCCTTCTCTCTCCCATAAATGACAAGAAAGTAGACTTTAGGGTTTTGCAAGAGAATCCTTGCAAATTTCCTAAAGTCAAGGAGGAATTTAGACTAGCATACAACTTTAGTGTTCACTTTTTAAAATTTTAAATTGAAAAAATTTAAGTGATCGTGGTCAGATAGGGTAAGGTGTTTTCAATGCCTATCTATTTGGGCATTTCAAGAGTTAATGTGCAGCTTCTCTGCTGATGCCAGTATATCCTAGGCCAAATGAGATAATGGCATTAATAAGTAGAACCACAGTCCATTAGGTCTTGAGTCTGTTAAATCATTTTATCAAACAACTAAGAGAAGCGAGCAAAATTTGGGTTACTGCTTGCTTGAGCTGAATGTAAATGAGCCACTGCCCCAGGAAAATAATATTTGGGGCTGTGGTCTAGCCCTTCAGTCAGCCACCACCTAACTTTGGTCTGAGGCATTTTGTCACTAGTACAAAGTCTCTGCTACTTCATTTCCACAACTTCATCAGAAGAATGCTCTCTCCCAACAACTTCTTCAGAAGTTCTATGGAAATGTTTGTCATTCAGCTAATGCTACATATGAAAGTAAAGCTACTCTTAGGGTCAATGAAATAAAACAAGAAGGACAGAGAGGGCCCATGGAAAACCCTGGTGAGGGAAAGAGAGGGTTGTTCTTCTCCCCAGGTTGTATGGCCTGGGCTCTAAACCTCTGGCCCCAGACACTGCTGTGGTCTCAGCCTACTCCTGAGGGTGTGGGCATGACTTGGAATTGGTCTTCAATGAGCCAGAGTGTGGGTGTCCATGCCCAGATCACTCTTAGTCTTATGATCCCCAGAGACCCAGTGGGTGCTGGAGTTTTACTAGGTTAGGTCTGTTTTCTGGCACACTCTGTTACACCCCAGGATCCACCCTTGCCTGTTATCCACCCAGACCACACCAGGTCAGAGTCGTTGGCCAGGGTTCTAATACAGTCTAGGCCCACATCCCCAGGGTTGGACTAAGACCAGCCTATCCTCTGGGGAACTGGGGTGGGAAAAAAGGTACAACAGTTCAACTGATCACTCTCTTTTGTATAGGTGTTTATGTCTGTTGCTTTGGGGACAGCATTTCTATATTGGCCACAGTCATAATGAATGAATTCACAAATGCAGCACAGCTTAGCTACTAAAACCTCTGGGTTACTCTACAGGGAGGGCAAGCTAGAAGCAGCACTGCTGCAGAATACCCCTCTGAGGTGACTGACCACGCTGGACAGACACAGCCAATTTCACTGGAAAACAGTTCCCCTATGACATTTCAGAAGAAACATGGCTGGAATGACACAGGACATGGCACTAGTTGAGTTTGTGATTGTGTATTCCTTAAGGAATGGGTGACATTTGTAAAAAGTTTATACTTCTACATGTCCAATGCTTTACATTTCAAAGCGAATATAAGGTGATGATGGGTTAAGTCTTGAAAATGACTTTCTGAAAAGTCTAAAAGTGGAAGAATAAAGTTGACCCACTGTGAGATGATTAATGATGGGCCAACTGCTCTAAGTGCTTAGTAGAATTCGGGTATCTGCTGAGTCACCATGAGGCCTGCAGGCCACAAAGATTACTAAGAGTTTATAAGAAATTTCTAGATGTTTTTATGTCTTTTTTGATATGTGAATAATATATTTTGCGTGTTCACATGAATCAAACCAAATAATGCCATTTCAAGATAATATTGATTGTTTAACACAAGATGTGATTCAAATCGGTATAAAGGAAAATGAAGGTTTCACAGGTACCTGGTGGTCTCTTAAAATGCAAACACTAATGCAAATGTTGAAACGGATTTACCTTATCATTTCTTTCACATAGAAACTTTAACCTTTGAGCTCGCTTATGCATAAATACTCCATCCAAATGTCCTGTTTCCACTGACCGGATCTCAATAGCTTTCTCGCCCCAGCCCATTATCTGATTGGAATGAATGTAGGCTGTCAAAAGGAATTTCCAAAACTGCATTAAAAACATTAGATGGGCAATAACTCACAGCATCTGATCACATCTTAACCACAAAAATGACAAACAATTTGAGATAAACAGACAAAGCAAGTCTTACAAGAGTTATTCACAGACTTTTTTTTGTGGAATCAAATGGTTGTTTCACATTTCTTGACTTTCGTTTCATTTGGGGGGTGTAACTGCTGAAGGAGATAAGGAATGGTTAACCTACCCACAGACGTGGGCATTTCTCCCCACTGGAGCACCACATCCTTAGTTATCCGGCCATAGGTGTTCACATACACCCCCTCATCCTCATAGCAAACAAGCATTTCCATTCCATCTGTTTTAGGCAAGATGACAATAGCATGAGGAGTGATATTGCCCTGAATCTAGAAGACAAAGAAAGGCCAAGCATTATTCTTTTTAAAAATAAGACAACACCTTGACTATTCATCTCTAAGAACCAGAAAAAAAAAGAGGTGTTTTTTGTTGTGTGTTTCATTTTAAACGTAAAGACTGAAATTTGCTTTCATTTGCTTTGTTTTAGTTAGCCACTGACTTGTCAAATACCCTGGCAAATACAAACTTATTCACTAGATTAAAAATGCAATTTAACTGTCCCTAAAACAACAGCCACATCTATGGAGCACCGATTATGTGTCAACCACTGGGCCGGTTATATATATATATAAAATTTCCATTCTTTAGAACAGCTCCCCACAGTGGATATCTTTGTTTACAGATTAGGAAACTACATCTCAGAAGGGTTATGTAACTTGACCAGAGCTATACTAGTATTTGGTGGTAGAACTGGGATGTGAGCACATGTCTTGCTGGCATTGAAAGTCATGTGTTTTCCATTAGCACAACCATTTCCAAAAAAGATGAGGCTAATGTAAAGGCAGCTAAATCTAATGGAGATAGCCTAAATGGGGCCAAAATGCACTCCTACCAAATAGTCTATGAATAGATATATACCAAAAAAAAAAAATTCAAATTAATGGCTTCTTTAAGAAAAAAATTTAGAATTACCACTCACTTAAAAAAATCACGTTATTGAAATAAGTGTAGATTAGCTTGTTCTAGAAAAAGCGGTGTGATGCTACTGTGACCTGGTTGAGAATGTCATGGCACCTCAGTATGGATGGGCTAGATGGATAAGGAGAAGAGGACTGAGGGTGCTGACAGTGATGTCCTGGTCACCTCACTGAGAACACGAGCTAGGAGTCTTTGTGTGCACATGCATACACAGGAATTAAAAGCTGTAATGCAGCAATGAACAGCAATTGTGTCTGTGTTAGTGGGTGTATGTAATATACTAAAACAACTTGTTTCTTCTTTAGAGCAAAGTATTCAAATTCTCGAAATACTAGTCAGCAACAGATTAGGCTTCAGATTTTCCTGATAAATAGTTTCTACTGTATGTTAGTTCTTGGGATTACACATAGAACACACAGACTACACCAATCCCAATAAGTGCATTCATGTGCAGTGCTTCCCTTTAAGAGTCATGTTTTAGGCAATGTGTCAGAATAGTAACATGAGTATTATATTGTTAGTAAGAACTACAAATTGCAGTGCCCTGTGCCAAGTGCTTTAGATCCATTGCCTCATTTATTACTGATGATAACACTTTGGTATACGTCCTTTTATCCCCATTTTACAGATGTGAAAGCTGAGGGTTGGAGAGGCTGCCTAATGTGTCCATTGTTGCAAAACTAATACATGCTAGAGCCAGGGTATGAGCTCCAGTGTGTCTGACTTCACTATACCACATTGCTCATAAGCTGAAGAGAGGAACCAAAAACAGCAGAAAAAGGATGTTTTCCAAGAAATTATCATCTGATCATTGGCTTTCTCCCACATAAAATGGAACCAATCTCTCTTCAAAAACTCATGTATTATACAAAATTTATGCCCTTGAAGAAAAAATATCATACTCGTTTTAATCTAAAGTCTAATGAGACAACATATAAATGTCAAATAAATTCTAGTATAGTTACCCAGTTTTAGGAAGTCATAAAAATTAGCTAAATCTATATATTTTAGTTATTAGAAGCATTCTATTTAATGAGGGCCTAAAGTCCATCTGCTTTACCGATTAGTAAAAGTTAGCATGACTTCTACTAAAAACACGCAAAAACAAATCTCTTTCTACATGCAGGCTGTTTGCAGAGAGAGCCCTTGACAGTCTGCTTCCGGGAACTTACATGAGATGGTATGTAGATATCATAAGAGTTTCCTGAATCAACATCAATTACATGGAAACCAGTGTGTGAACCAAAAATAACCTTTAATCTTTGACCTTCTTCTACTGTGAGATCAACTAGCAGAGGCTTGTGCTGGAGATCTGCAAAAGACTTTAAAGATCGCTCCATTAGTATCCACATCATTCAAAGAGGTTATCTTAATAATTTTTTCCTTTAGCCACTGTCTGGAGGAAGTTAATCTTTGACTTTATTAAATTGGAAGTGTAGGAAATTTCTCTTTCAGTTTCAGGTCTATTCCTATTCTGGCTCTGGGAGGAGGGTCTGGCACCCATTCATGCCCTTTTCTCTGCCCCTTGTCCTCCAGGGCAAAGAAATTAGTTTACAACTGTCAATTTTGATAGTATCATTGTATATTAATAACTCGGTGGCTGGGTACTGTGCTTATTTCTGGCCTTTGCCCTCTAGAGAAGGTCCAGCCTCTCCGGCCCTCTCTTTGCCATGTGGTAGCCAGGCCCAGGCATGGTGGCTACCCTTTCAGAGATAGTCTGGGATGCACAGCCAAGGACGGCTCTGTTCTAAGCCAGTTCAGTATTAATGGGCATGTTCTGATTTTAATTTTCCTTCAGTGATCAAGTGGGCATCAGATTGGCACTTCCTCTAAACTTAATGTTGAGATCTGAGACTTGGGTTTGGCAATAAAGAAGGCGATGTTTGGGTTTGGTGGTGGAACATCACAGGACTGATGGCTTGCATTGACTACTTGGGTTAAACTAGAAAGAATAAAAAGAGAGCTCTAGACAAGTTTGTCAAGGTTCTGTGTGGTGGAATTTAGGGCCCAAGTCTCAACTACTGCCAGTTGTTCCTCTGCCATTATTTAATCACACTCTACCATTACTGGGCCTTGAAATACTGGAGAGATTTGTGAACCCACAATGGCCTTGGCTGTAATACCAATCAGACCCCTCTCTCTTCATCTTTTGCTCACACCATTCTCAGAGCTTGGGAAGCTCTAGCCTTCTATCCTTGTCCAAAGGAAGGCTCAACCTCCTGCCAGTTCTTGACTTCGGTGTTCAAGGTTTTGCCTTTGCCTTTCCCTCTTTCCAGGCTGGGTCTGGTTTGCTAACAGAGCATTTCACACTCTCTCATGTGCTCTGGCTAGTAAACTGACGGCAGTAATTTCAGAAACAGAGTGGGAATGAGATCTTGATTGAAAAGCTTTTGCAGAGAGAGACTTTGGCAGAATAGCAGCACCACTGAAGCTTTTAGGAGTCATCCTTTAAGTGGTATTACTAACCTAATGCATTCCAAAAATTTCTTTCCATAAAAGTGGGGTTATGGAGGGGAGCCCATTTCCACTGATGAATCTATCTCCCTGAGCACATCACAAATAAGCCATTTGCACTAAGGGAACAAGACAGAGTGAGCTGATTCAATTCTGAAGAGGGCCTACATAATGTTTCCAGGACAGTTTCTGCCCTTGCATGGCATATGTGACAGAAAAGAATAAAGAGCTAAAGGAAGATAAGAGCCATAAAGTGGGAAGAAAATGTGAGGGCCAATTAGCTACAGAGAAGTAGACAGAGGCAGAGAAAGAGAGAACAGAAGATAAATTCATATCAGCTATCAGCTATGGGGCTCTGAACAAATCAGGTGCCTGAAAGTTCCAGTCCTCCTGGTATTGGGGGTCAGCTTTCATGAGCTGAGGCCAATGGGACTAGCATATCCCTATCCCATTACTGCTCAATTTCAAGAATGAGCAATCCAACCATGGGGGGTGTAGACTTAGATGAGGTAAAAAATGAAAAGGCAACCAAAATTGAAGAATGCAAAGAAATCTAGATCATTTCCATAAGTTGGCAGTGGGGATATATAAACATCTACTGAGTTTTAGGGGCTTTATCCAGAAAGACTTATGAGGACTATAAGATTTGGAGACTCAGTTTAATCTTGAGATTCATTACTGCTATTGGCATTGGGCTGCCTTTCTAGTGTAGGTGGCTTTACAAGAAATATCATTGTACAATATCATTGTTAACACTTTGTCTGGTAGCCATTCCATACTAAATGCGTCTTGAAGATGACAATTCATAGATCTCAAATGGAGGAGGGCACACCCAAATTTTAATTTGACTAATTTTATAGTATTTTTATTTTAAAAATTTTTTAATTCTTTTTTTTTTGCTACACTGATACATTGTATTGTGGTGAAGTCAAAGCCTTCAGTGCATCCATTACTGGAGCAACGCACATTGAACCCACCAATAGCATTTTTAAATACATAATCTTTACTCTTGAAATAATAAATCCAAGAGTACCTTTACTTTTAAAACAGGCTTATTATGGAAAATTGATATTGGTTATATGGAAAGCAATCACTTTATAACTGGTAGAACTAAAATTTTTTTTTTTTAAAAAAGCCCATTTTAAGTAATCATATGCTTGCTTACCTTAAATGCCATAAACTTATGATACGGTTTAGGAGCCCAAGCGTATATCTCCACAGCATTCTTTAAGGCAATCACCAAAAATTTGATCCTTTCATATTTAACTGTAACAGAAAAATTTTGAGTTAAAAAGTACATTTATTCAAGTTTTTTTTGTATTAATGTATGTATAAGACATAAAATGTAAATATATGTTATATATATGCATACACAGTGATGCCCCTGGTGTGGGATTTTTTTTCGTAGATACAGATTTAGCTTCCCTTAGTGAATCTGGTTTCCAGAATATATGGGGCCTTTTGCTTTATATTGAAGACTGTTTTCTTTATCTGAAGATGTAACTACTTAGGGTGGCCTTTAACCACTAGGTCTAGATGTAGATATTAATTATAATAAGAATCTGCATGATTTTCTTCATGGTAGCTTGCCTGGCTTTTATGTTAACCCACATGTGAGTAACTGAGAGCTGGTATGGCAAGATGGTTGAAAAATTAGCCACTGGGTAGACATACAGGCTGCATTTGCTTATTATTTAGATTTGAATTCCTATTATTAAGTGAAATAATTGCTTATTTATGTTTCTAATGAAAGATGGAGTGTTAGGAGCCCTGGGTTCTGGTAATGACCTATTCTTAAGGGCTCCACATACTCTGACAAATCCTTTTACTGTTTAGGAAGATGGATTATTAAGCATCCTAAATTCCATGGACAGAAACTTGGTACCTACTATACTTTTGTCTACACAAAGGCATACTCAATAAAAGCTTATTGAATGGAAGAATGGAAGAACAGACTGTTGTTTGGCTTTCTCTTGATTACTATGGCCTGTGTGTCTCTGGTACAATAATGATCAATATTTACACTGATGACCTTGAGAGATTATAGAACTCTTTAAGTGCCTTCTGAATCTTTCACTATTAAATGTGGATTGTAAGTCTCAGAAAATTTGTCATCCACAAATGATACACATGGCAGTCATTTTCTTTATAAAATATCTGAACTAACAGAATATTCTGAGTCGTAAAGAAAGTGGGGAGGAAAAATTTTAATGTACTTAAAATGAACTTTTAAGTTTCTAGTTGTTTTCTTTTTATAACTTTTCATGACATGAACTCTTCATGAGACTACTTTCTCTGATCTCCTTACCTGAAACCTAGGAAAAGGTCCATAATTAAAATTTAAGATAGTCTTGAAAAGAAAAACTTATCTTATAGGCTAAGGGAAATAAGGAAGTATTTTAAATGACTCTTGGATATACAATTTGCTTTTCCATTTTGTTCTCATTTTGTATCTTTAAAATTTCACAGGAATTTGAGTATGCTAGAGTAATCATGTGCTACAAGAAGATCTCAGTGTTGTCTTAGCTGGTATCCCACGAGGAAAGCAAAATGGAGATTCCAAGTGGTTATCTGGATAACTGACACAAACAGCATTTCTGAAAATTAGGCTGGTCTCAATTTTCTGATAGCTAATTACCAGACACAGGTCTCTGTTTACATTTTGCTTTGCATGAGTGAATATAGGTCAGCCTACTGGTGTCTGGGTAATGAAAAGGGAGAGCGATGATTAGAAGGAAGATGTCAGAAATGTTAGAAGGGCCACTGGTAGATTTGCAGGTCAAATCGGTTTTCTGCAGCAGACATTTTTGAGAATCACTTGTCAAGTACATGTAAGAGATAACACTCAGAAATTTTATGTTATTTACTGCAATGAATTCTATTGCTCTGTAATTATACAATATTAGTTTATGTACATGAAATCTGATCACTAGAAATCTAACAAATACCAAGTAATAAAGGTAAAATAGTCAAAAAGAAATTCTAAAAGCTTTATCAGAGAAATGTTTAGAGGCAGTTTTAAAAATTGCTTCCATAGTAACACTTATAAATTACATTGCTTTCCTCTGAAAACAGGCTTATTCTCCAAGAGAGAAGCCCATTATCTCCAAAAGAAGCCCAAATATGTATATGAATCTGAATTTTACTTGCTGTGAGAATGAGGTGATGTATGTTTTATACTTTGTCAGGTTATCAGATTGAAAACAAGAGAAAATTAAAATTCTAGCATATCCTATTGGAAATTACCAAATAATGCTGATTTGCGTACAAAAATGCAGAGTGGGGCACATTGCAGCTTGTCCTACCACCAGCCTGCTACAGAAAACCACTCTCCCATGTGGTCTGATTTGTGTATGATGCTGTGTCCTTTGAACACCCATTCCTTTTTTTTTAAACAAACACTTCTTAACTGATGTCCATGTGCCTGGCATTGTTCTAAGCACAACAGTTAGAGAGTGATACAGATATAATTGTGGCTGTGGCTATGTATGTTTGCAGACAGTAATTGTTTATTTTTTCCCAAAGCTGCTTTAAATACATATTAATAAGGCCATTATCTGTGTTGCAATGTCAGGAGCTTTTTTTTTTTTTTTTTTTCTTAACTGCAAATGACATTATTAATAAAGAGTGGGAGACATATCCTTTTGGGCACCAGAACCTTCAAGTTCAGTATCCAGCGCCAACACTTCCTAGCGTCAAGGTGTCTGGGAAGGTCACTCAGAATGAAACTGGAGGAAAAGGAGGTGGAGATGCTGTTTCAGAACAAAGCTCCCCTCTAGTTGGCAGACTAGGACACACTGAAGTTCTCGCCAGGACAGCCAGGAAAAATGACCAGATTCTTGCTTTCTGAGCTCTTCCTCTGTAGCATGCCCCTTTTGTTTCCACATTCTATCTTTAACTGATTAGGCTTCAACCTCCATTAAGTCAACACACACGATCGACTGGACCAGCTCGACTGGCTATGATTTCAAATGCGTATCATGCTTTTCTGAGAGCACATCACGGATACCTTTGAACGGAAGGTGTCTAAAGCTCCCCAGACACTCCTTTATTGTCATTCCTTATGTTAAATAATGTATTTTATCCAGTACACATTTGAAAAACCTCTACACATTTTCCTATCTTTATCAAATTTAGATTGAACAAGTTTTACAGGTGCATATTTTTAAAAGTCAAATCGTTTTCCACAAGTCCCTGCCTCACTCTTGATTCCTGCTTCCTAAAAACAATCACGTGCAACTCCTTCAAAGACTTGCTTGGCAATTTATTTCCAGATTGCTAAATAACATACTTATTATTTCTTGGATTTTTTTCAATTGTAGACATTATCTACTGACTTCGTAATATGGAAAGGATTTAGTCTCTTATAATATCTCCTTCTCTCTCTAGCTCCCCCCAATCTCGTAACACACACTACTTCCTCCCCTACATCCTCAATATAGTTATATTTCTAATTTTTGGTTAAATCGATATCAAGTGTTTAAATTATTATTGTTCACAGCTAAGGTAAATAGTTACATGGTGACATTTCCTTTTTTGTTTTCCTCATTTTTTTAACTTCCTTATTTTCTATGTATCTATGTCTAAGCACATGTAAACTGTCTGCTAGCGAATGCCCTTCAATATGGTCAAACACAGTCAGAGATCTATTTGTACCACTTTATATTTCTTAGAGGCATCCCTCCTGTAACTCTGTACTGTTCTACTCATCCAAGACTGATTTCTTTCTAGGCCTGTGGCAGAGCTGTCTCCACAGGTTCCCTTCACCATCATTTTGTATATTTTCTTCATCTTTTTGTTTGCTCACCAGGTTTAGTTCTTTGTTTTGGTGAAACACATTCTCCATTAGCTTCCTGAGAAATGGTATGTGGAATGTAGATTTTTTGAGAGCCTGCATGCATGAAAATGTTTTTATTCTGTACTCAAAATTGATGAATGACTTGTTGGTATGATGTTTAATTTCATGTGTTTACTTGACTGAGCTGCAGGGTGCCCAGATATTTGGTCAAACATTATTCTGGGTGTGTCTGTGGGGATTTTTCTGGATGAGAATAACTTTTGAATCAGTAGACTAAGTAAAGCAGATTGCCCTCCCCAATGTGGGTGGGTCTCATGCAATCAATTGAAGATCTGAATAAAACAAAAAGGCTGAGTCCTCCTGCCTATTTGAGCTGGGGAATCAGTCTTTTCTGGCCTTTGGACTTGGACTGAAGCATCAGCTCTTCTTGGGTCTTGAGCCTACTAGGTTTGGACTATAACTGCTCCATCAGTTCTCCTAGTTTTCAGGCCTTCTGGCTTGGATTGGACTAACACTATTGGCTCTCTTGGTCTTCAGCCTACTGACTTCAGGTATTGGGACTTCTCAGTCTCTGCAATTATACGAGCCAATTCCTTATAATAATTCTCTGTAGATAGATAGATAGCTTGCTGACTACCATACTGGGACTTCTCAGTCTCTGTAATTATATGAGCCAATTCCTTATAATAATTCTCTATAGATAGATAGATAAATCAGTAAATAAATACCTCCTATTGGTTATCCCTCTCTGGAGAACCCTAACACAGGGTTATAAAATACCAGTAGGAAATAATTTTGCCTTCAAGAATTTTGAAGGCCTTGTGCCATTGTCTGCTAAGCTTCTAGTATTGCTGCTGAGAAGTCCCAGGCCACTCTGATCCTGGATCTATTATATGTAAACTGTTTATTTATTTACTTATAATGCAGAAGCTGTAAGGATCATTTAATTTCCTGGGTACTGAAATATCACACTGATAAGTCTTGTTGTGAGTCTTTTTCTCATTTACTATATGGGGTACTCACTCAGTGAATCCTTTCAATCTGGGATTTCATGGCCTTCGGTTCTAGAAACTCTTCTTGTATTCTTTCTTCAACATTTTCTTCCCCTTCAATTTCTTATTTTCTAAATCTCATAGGACTTAGATTTTGAAACATCTGAACTGATCTTTTCATTTTTTTAAATCTTTTCTCTTGTTCTTTTCTTTTTGTTCTAGATCTTAGGAGAATTCCTTATCTTTATCTTCTAACACTTTTATTACATTTTCTATTCCCGCCAATATATTTTAGTTTCCAAAATTTTTTCTTTGTCTATGAATGACCTCTTCCCATCCTGCTCCACCACCTTAAAAAAAATAGCCTTATTCTTTCATAGAAAGATTATTTTTCTAATCTTTATAGTAAGTTACTATAGTTTCTTCCTTCCTTTCTTTTTAAATTTTCTTCTAATTCTCATTATCCTTGTTTCTTCTAATGTCCTTTGTTTCTCTTCTTTAAGTTTCCTTCATATTTGTGGATTTCTCCATTCACTGGTATAGGTGGGCTTATCAACTGGTGGGCTTCACTTCAGGCTAGTTAACCAGCAAGCTTTTTCCATGGCACTTCAAATGTTACTACTTATACATCTTTTCTGGCCATTTAGTTTCTCCAAAGACAAATCTTTCAACCTGATTCTTGGTAGTATAATCACGGCTGCCAACACCTTGGGAGATAAATAGTGGAAGGGGAAGTGTGCATATGTGTGTGTGTATGTGTGTGTGTATGTGTGCTCACAAGTATTCCCATCATCGTGCAAACCTTCATCTTCTGTTGCAGTGGGGAAGGGTATTGGTCTCCCTGTCCAAGGGTAGAGATTAGGTTCTGGAGGACTTGCTGCTCATCAATTTTCCAACAATTCCCCTATAAATATAGTTAGTCCCACCTTACACCACCACCTTCACTTCCAGTTCCTCTGGGGCCTCAATTCCTGGGCCTTTCTGGGATTTGTCGAGTGACTGGATTGATTTTGCTAATTTTCCTCACCGCAGATTTAGAATTTAGCATTTCCTGGTATGCTAGGTCTGTTTCCAGTCACCCAGAGACTCTTGCTCAGTTTTATTAACATTTTATTTACTGGCTTCTCCTCTCTTGATCCCTTTGTCTTTGTAGGTTTATGGCAAAGGGAGGTTTATTCTTTTTTGTCATTGTATTGGGTCTTTGGAGGGCAGTAGATACAGATGTTCAAATTGGAGTCTAGGATTTTATTCTGAACGCACTTTTTGAACTTCATCAATCTGACATTTTTTAAAAAGTATATTTAAGGTTCCAGTAACATCTTTAACTGGTCACACATGTATCATCAATATGTGATAGGAAAAACTAAGCAAAACTTAACTAAGTAATTCTAACTGGGTAAACACATCAAATTTAGAATTCCATGTCTCGAGACTTACCAACTTTGTAATGTATACAGCCTTCCAAGTCCCCAACAGTGATCCAGCCTTGTTTCTTTTCCACTTCTGGGTCATTATGTAGTATTCTGTTTCTTAACCATGAAAGATAGTACACCCGTAGCTTATTCTTCTTTCCTGTTGAAATAGTACAGCGTTAATTTCAAGCCCCCATGACAGCTCTTACTCTTTCCTTCCCCACCTCTATTTTAATTTAATTTATTTTTATTTACATTTGTGTACACATATGTGTGAAAGCATAATAACCAGTGTCCCCAGCACTTCATCATTGAAGTGCTGTCTCTGCCAGAACTTGGTCAAAATAGCTCCAAGTGTTTTGGACACATCACAAAATTACGATGTCTTTATCTTCAGGTGGTGTTTCATTTGAGCATGCTCCACTTACTTATTCTTTCTTTGCAATGCAAAGAGCAGTGCCTGCTGAACTCAGAAAGACCCAAGAGTTCCAGAACATTCTAAATCTAATCACATGAAGGAGTGTTGACAACTGGACATTTGGGCATACTTATGTGCACCTGTCTTTCCCTCACCTTCTAACCCAACAGCAGATGTTAATGGAGAATCTCTTATTTCTTATATTACTTTAAAGATGACAGATGGTAGTAGTTTTATTTCATAACTAGCAAAGAAATGTAATCTTAAAAGGAAACAAGTCCAATGGAGTTGATTTGGGTTCAGAAAATCATACTGGACAAGTTTATGGTGCAAAGTTACTGAAAGGAATACCAAGCAAAATAGAAAAGGAAAATAAGATGTAGACAAAAAGAAAACTTAAAGTTATCCCTGGTAAAGTGACCTTGGAGAGTAAAGACTTCATAGGATGACAAGAAAATATCTGGACAATATTGAAGAGTATACAAGGGGTGAAATTTAATATAGTCCATTAGGTTATCTGAGCACCAGATAAGAAAATGTCCATTGGGGTGACTCTTCCTAACTAATGAAAAATTTGGCCCTGTGGGTTTCCTTTTTGGGATGCTTATTTTCCATTCATTTATCTTAGGCTTTAAAGATGTTTTTATATTTTAAAGATATAACAGAAGAATAGAACTCATTAAAGCACTGCACACTGGATTTGACAGGAGAGAGTGTTCATAACTTAAACTTATTCTTCTTTTTAAGGGAATCACAGTGCAGTTAGTATTCATTTTTGTAACCAGAGCCTAGAAAATGTGTTGATCATAATAGCTAGGATAGGCAGAAGAGCCAGTGCATCTTCCTTTCTATGCTAATATGGATTGGAGGGCAGTTGAACAATCTTTGGCTCCTATTTTCATTTTCTCTCCTCCCCATCTGTGCCTCATGATAAGAGGAAATGGTTACACTCTTAAGAGTGAGGATGTGTCACTAACAACATAATGAAGCCGAATGTAAATTTCTGATTGCATTTCCACTTTTGGTAGGTGATGGGCAGATGTGTAGTTTTAATTTTGGTTTGCTAGTACAGCAATCCAGAAAGTAATTAACCAGAACAAAGGACTATGTGGAATTAAACTCAAATTATAATACAGGAAGAATTTACTTGGTTAACCCTTATTTGGTCACTAGAAGTCCAATGGGCTTATTTGGTCACTAGAACTCCACTGTGGCACAGAGCCAGCTGGTTAACCCTTCTTTGGAAAGAATAAAAAGAGATGAAACTCTGAGCATTCAGTGGAAAGGTGAAAGAAAGAAAAAGTTGTGGTGTTGAGTGAAAGCATTTTCTTAAAATAGAAGTACAGCCGAAGAGTTAAACTTTCTTCAAGGTTCAAACCAGTGTCCCTGCACTGTCTGTTTACGAAGCAACAGTTGAGCGTTGAGCCATGTTCTCAAACTTGGTTGCACAATGGAAGCACCTCAGGAGCTCTGAAAGCTGCTGATGCCTCGGCCACAACCCTCAGAGATTCCGACCCTGATCTGGGTACAGCCTGAACTTTCACATCTCCCCAGATGGTTCTAAAGTACAGTATTGTGGCTGGTTCCACACCGGATGGAACGGGAGGGGAAAAGAAGGATGTTATTTGTCAAACTCCTTTAAATACCATCAGAAAGAAAAAACTTCTCTTTCAGTAAAACTTTTCTCTTTCTGGTTACATTTTTAACTTGTCAGTAACAAGGCCTTCACTTTAGTCTCCATTTTTTTTTTCTTTTTTAAAGCTATTTATGGGAACCAGAAAGCTATAGAGCACAGCAATAATAATTTCTACACTCAAATCTCTTTGCAGACTTGGTCACCCAAGGGGCCAGCTGGACCTGTTAAGACATCAGTGAAGTATAAACAAGAGAATTTCTTGTGGGAAGAGACCAGAGACAATTTCCATTTACTAAATTTCCCTCCTGGAAACCTACATTTTGATATTCTACATCTGAGAGTAGATGATAATAACTGGAGGGTAGACAACTTAAAAAGATCCCTGTTGAGTCCTGATAGAGGTAAAAGTCTATAAATATACAACCTTTGTGGTATGTGTCTGCCTGATTCAGATTTAGTGCAGAGGTGAGGGACTTCCTTTTGGAGGTCAGAATCTACGCTGCTACAAAATGTGGGCGATCTCACTCCGCTACAACTATTGCATTACTTGTTGGCTGGGAAGGGCAGCGCTCACTGTTTCTTCAGAAACGAGGTGGTCACCTTTCCCACCTGTGCAGACCTGGGGAATATGTCATCCTAGTAACATACCTGAAATTGTCACAAGCACATTCAGTCCCTCTAGCACATCCATCTGCTGAAATCGCCTCCGGTTGATCAGATTATAGACTTTGCCTTGCCCACTTCGGTCCAAGAGCATCAGGCCATTTTCAGTTCCCACCAGAAGGTTTACACCTGCAAAGTTAAGAAGCACCCCAAAACTGACTTTCACTAGCTTTAACCTTCTGCATTTGGGGTATTTGTAAAACCTAAGAAACTGTTTCTTATAAATATAAACTAATGGGCAAGGAGGTACTACAGTAGGGAGTGTAGAAGTAGAAGCTCTGACATGATAATCAAATCATTATCCCTCTGGTAATGAAATTACAGTTTTCTTTTATAAAGTGTAGCAGCATTCATTACATCTGGTCATTTACTACTCGGTATAGAGAGTTCTTGTCAAGAGGAGCCCTAGGCACAGCTATAAAACTAGCACAATTAGTCTTTATTCCCTTCCTGTAACAACCACCTCTTTTCTGGCTCTCCCTATAAATCTACTTCTCTCCTTCCCAAGGTTCATCCCCATCCCTATTCATGCAGTGATTTCTAGCCTACCTACCTTCCACACATAGCAGAGTTTCCATTTTCATGCCCCATTGGAACAAAAGCCCCTCCTCCTTCTCACACCAAAATTTAAATATCTTATGCCTCATACCCTCAAGGTTCTGCCCTCTTTTAGGGAAATGATAAACCAATTCAAGAGGTGTTAATAGCCTGAGAGTTACAGAAATACTGACTATAAAGGAGTCTCAGATATCTAAATCTAGTGTAGCTCAACCTTCATGTAATAGTCCCTATCACAAAAGTTATTGTAGATATGTGGTCTTGTCTTGATAGCTATAATCCTAAAAATTCGTCTGTAGAGAAATTAAACATCTGCTCCCAACACACACATTGAGAGGTTCACTGTGCAGTGTACTATACTCATGAATATGTAACTCTATAACTTCTCTCACCTACTGTACTTCTATCTTCTGAGCAACATGAACGTCTGCTCTTTATCTACATATTAACCCTTTCAATATTAAGCGTGGCTATCTTGCTCTCTTCTGTGTGTTCCCCAGAGGACAGAACCTTTATTACACCTCTGAGGAAATGGTTTCCAGGCTTGACACTCTTCCCTGCTAATATCTCAAATGCTTTTATCCCTTTAAAATTATGGTGCCCCAACTGAAGCCTAGTATTTTAGTCAGATACAGATGGCCATGACCTTGTTTGAACTGTATGAAACATTTATAGTAACACAGACCAGGACTTTGATAGAATCTCATAACACCTATACTGAGTCTGAGGTCAGCTAAAACCTGCAGATCTTTTCTACAAGAACTGCAGGTTGATGTTTTGAACTAAAAGGGACGTCTGATATCATTATTTGTCATTCTTTTTAAGTTTTATCTTGCTATTGCTAGTGGTAATAGCCTTGGGCAATTCACTAAAATATGCTGGGCTGGTTTCTCAGCTGTGAAATGAAGGTAATGCCATCATTCCCCTTGCAGGATGTTATATGGATCAGAGAATGAGCATGGGGTACATCATACAGTGCTGGACACAGTGGGTGTGGTGGCTGGTTCTGTTGTTGGCTTTACCTATCATTGTTGTGTGACAGGGTCATTCTGAATCTGATCTTATCATCCTGAGCACTAGAGTATCAGCTCTTTCTACATATAAACCTATTTTAGTTTCTCCTGAGGTCAAGATGGTCTTAAGTCAGGTCTCTAAAAGCCAAGATTCAACCAGTGTTCTGATGATAAGATCCACAGGCTTTTAGTGGTTGAGGGTCAGTTCATTAATGAGTAGTAAAAAAAAAAAAAAAGCACCAACATACCCCACAGAGCCGCACAGAGTATTTCTGAGTTGAACCGTTTCTTGTATTTTCTTATCTCTGGTGTGTCACTGTGAGGCCGAATGTTGGTTGGGTTGACGTTCACCACTGAAATCTTTCTTGCTTCATTGAGCTTGGCCTGTTCTTGCCTAAGAAGTTCGCTAGTGAACAGAGCTTTGAGAAAGAGAATCAGAGAAGTCAGTGGCCTCTTAACACATAACCAATGGAGATATGGAGAAGGGGCTTCACAACACTATGATTTCTCCTTGTTTAGTTTGTATTATAGGAAAGGCAAAGAAATTCTCAAACTCTACTTATTTTACACTTTTTTTTTAGTAGAACAAAGTGTAAGTCATTCAATGAAGAAGTATTTTATTCATTAGCAAAACAGGCTTATCGACAGTTTAGAAAATTGATATTAATATCACAAAATTTAATACACCATACTCACCTCCTATAATATATGCAAGAAAGATTTACTTTCTGAAATTCCAGATTATCAATTAAAACATTAGCCTAAGCTGACTTTGATGATTAATGACTTGCAGAAGTTTAGAAAGCAAGACTCTCCTCTAAATCAGCCAGACCTTTGTGTGGAAAGCACACACCTAGAACTCAGCACAATGCAACATGCACTTATTAAGTGTCTACTGTATGCATAGCATTATACCCAGAAATTGCTTTTGGGAAATATGTGGTAAGTTCAGAGATCGCTGAGGAACAGCTTTTCCTAGGGTCCCTGGATACCTCTGGGTTCCTACCAGGAGCAAAATGGGAGAGATAAAAAAAAGAAAATGGAAAGAAATTTGTTTTAGGAGTCCTACAAAAATAATGATTAAAAAAAATCTTTTTAAGACAGTGTCTAAGTAGTAAATGGCTTAATTATTGAACTGATAATTAATTTCCTTGTCAGGCCATGCCAGAAAGGAAAACAAAGCTGTTTCTAAAACACAGGGCCATCTAGCTCACCTGTGGCTGATGATTCCTCATCCTCTTCGTCTTCATCAGTGGGAGATGTCTGGTACACTCTGGGGTCCACAAACGGGGTGAAGGAGGCTTTGGTGCTGCTCCCCATGCCATACTAATCAGTAAGCAAGAAGATTAAGAAGAGCAGATAAATACATGCTGCAGAACTAGCCAATGCTAACAATACTTTGCTCGGGTTGTAAAGTGATTACAGACTCTTCAATCCTTTCAGTTGTTCCCACTCCAGCCCCTTAGTCAGAGCTTCTCCTGGTATTGGTTACTCACTAGCCATTGTGCATTTGTAGGGTTTCATTAATTCCCAGACTGCAAGGGGTGCAGTGAGAAAATTACATTTTGGGCCATATGTGGCACCTTAATATCTATAAGATCATTGTGGTGACACAGCTTGCCTCTCCCTTTCAGTAAAAGCAATCTCACATTGACCAAACTGTCCATATGGAAAGCTGACACAAGTGGCAATAAACTAAGGAAGCACATCTACACGGCAGCACCTCATCCTGAACACACAGCCAACCCAAGAGGCTTCCTTTTCAGGGGAGGCAGGAGAGCAGTTTGAGCCCTTCCACTGTGGCCTGGTAATGCAAGTGGATTAGTGTTGGCTCCAAAACCTTTAAAATCTTTAATGCAGAGATGATTTCAACCAGGAATTGAAGATTTTTTTCCTTCCCATAGTAATTTTCTTAGAAGGATACTTATATTTACATGCCCTATTTGGGAGCTTCATGAAGATACCAGGTTTGAGGGCAATTCACCTTAAAAGCATAGTTATTATGAACAAATGAATCTTAAGGGCTTGGATAGCACCTTGAAGAAACGAAGTGAGAATTAGACTAGGGAACAGGAAACTCAGTATCAGGGCTTCACATCACAATACTCCACATCTGAGTTTTGCTGAAGGAACTGCAATAACCACCTCCCCATTTGTCCTCTCTATTCCTTCTACTACACACATCATTTTGACAACACAAAGACACCTGTACTCAGCATAAGAAGTGCCTCTTTTTTTCAGATAAATGTCTGGTAAGTAAAGGTTCTTAGTTTTGCTTTTAGGTTTTTCTTTAAAAATAAAACCAACATCCAAGATCCCTAAAACATAATAAGGAAAAAAAAAAAAAACCACAAAGAGCCAATATGATTTAATTCAAGATTTTCCCTCTATTCTATGAAATCAAGACCATTTCAGTCTCCTCAAGGTAGGATTCCCGCTCTCAAATAGAGCACTTGAACATACATTCTCTCCTGTGATTTTTAGAAGATGTCTGTGAATGGGGTGGAGTGGGTACTAAGATTCCCACTTAGAGCTGGGGTGGCAGCAGAGTTTGAACCAGGGTTCTTCAACCCTGTGGGCTTCTCTTTGGTACCGACAGAGGTGTTCCGTAGAAAATGCCTGCCTAGACTGCATGAAGTCACAACAGGCTGCCACACACTTTCCAGTATGCCTCTGTGTTCTTTCCCTTGGGGGTATGCAAAACTCATTTGCTCTATAACTTTAGAATCCAAAAAACTTACAAAAAAACTTCGTGTGTGGAAAATGTCAGAAACAACAGTTCATATGCTTTATAAAAGCATTTAGGGCCTCATAGGTGATTCGTAAGACTATTTATGAAACACGTGAATTCATCCAACTGGTCTCTATCAGTGGCGTGTATGAGCACTACCTAATGGATTGTGTTTATTCAGGCTTTTCCCTAGGTCTATTTCTATAAAGGAAAAATAATGAGATATTATTTTGGAGTTTAGGAGTTTAGTAAGATGACACTTTAAGAACTTATCTATTAACTTATTTTTCATAAACAAATCTTTCAACCCTGTTTTATGTAAGTCAAACTTAGTCTGACTAAATTAATGTAAATATGAACTTTAACTGTTGGCCTTGAAATGTCTGCAGCCTGAAGTTTCCATCTCTGGCCTGGGAGATAGGAGGTCCCAGGTCTGGTCCTAGATCTGTTACAAACCAGCTGTGTGCCTTGGGTGAGTCAGTTAACCTCTCTGAAAGTCAGGACTCTCATGTAAAAACAGGTATGGGTCCAGACGATATCTGAGAACTTTCTACTACACTATTTCTATGATTTTTCTATTTGAGTATCTGCATAAGTAACTCTACAGTAGAAACCAACCAAACATATTTCAGGGAGCTTGGCAAAGCCTCAAACTTGAAGAAAGCAGGATTTCAAATCCCCCGAAGGAGAACAGAATTGCCATGTCAGCTCTTGCCTGGCACCTACCTCAGTCCCAGAGTCCATCTCCTGGGAATGGGTAGAGACACGCCCCAGTCCCTCGGTCGGGGTCCCAGCCGGAGAATGGCTCTGCTGCACCAGGTCTGGGAGGTTGATGTGGCCGGCAAAGCCATTGCTGTCACTGTGGCCAGATCGCTTCTTGTCTCCAGATGTCTGAGGGGCACAACATATGGGGGGCATTAGAGAGGGAGAAGAAGGCTACAAAGCAACATCACCCCTCACACAGCATAGGCACGGGGGCTCCAAATCAACCCACAAGGTTATGGGAAAGTAACATTCAAATTTCTATTTTACCTAAGAAATACAAAAAAAATTAAGCTTTGTCATATGTAGTACAGGGATTGACCCGGAAGCATTATGCTTCTGCATGAGGGGCAGTCAGGGCCACACATGATGTGAGAGACTTCTGTGGGGAGGCAGGGACACCACAAAAGGTGGAAGGGCGGAGCAGGGCCCACACTTGCAAGCTCCTCTGCTGCAGTGTTTGTGCACACACGTGCACATCAGCTAACTGGATTAACAAATCATACCACAGGATAGGATACAATGACTCAAAATGTTGCTGAAAAGAAGCAGTGGGATAATCCACGCACAAGTGTACTCCAAGAAAGTGCAGAAACAATACTTACCCAACTCACAGGGCTCTTTGTCATTCATAAAGTCAAAACTATGATTAACTAGTCAGACCTGACGGGAGTTCCAAGAAATGCTGATGTGATGTAGAAGACTGCTTGAAAATATGGATTTACAACCATGATCATTAATGTTGAATCTATCAATAAGTAACTGTGGTGCTTTGTGATGTAGGCAGAAAATATAAAGTCATCACGAGCAGCAGAGCATTGGAAACTTCATTTATAGCACTCCTTTTTAATATCTTTAAAGATGCTTTATAATGTATACAGTATGTTAGTGCAGTGGGACAAATGTACGGTTTATGAATAAATACACTGGATTACATGGCATGATCCACAAATTTTACCAATAGGGTTTCATGACCTAATAAATCTGGAAACCACTGCTCTGGAGAGCAGTCTCTTCCCAAAAATCCCAGGGAAGAAAGACAAGATTAAAAGATAACTTTGGTCTCCAAAAGCCAGTGCCTACATTTTAGGTCTAACTAGTCTTATAATTTTTTTTTCACATTTTTTACAATTCGCTCATTGAGGATTTTTAGAGCAGATATGATTACATCATGATTTTCCTTTCTGCCTTGTCTGTCTTTCATTCACTGGACCACATTTTTGAGTGCCTACTAAGCATAAACCATTCTGCTGAACGTGGAACAGCTGGGAACAAGGCAGGCACACTCCCTACCTCTCTGGGGCTGGTGTGTGCTAGGGTTCACGCTATTTCTTTGACCATCTCACTGGCCTGGCTTCTGCCTTCAGGAGCTTATCCTGGCTTTGCAATTATAGCTCTGCACCTGCCTCTGGCTGGAAGTGAAAGGAGGCGCTTTTTCTTGTGTATGTGTGAGATGAAACAGTCCTAAGATACAAAAGGGGTGCGTGTAATTGATGTAACCAGGAAGCTTGAGAAATAACTGGAAAGCCTAGTGTTCTCCATGCTTCTTGGTGATATGCTCCCGGACTACAAGCCATCCTGGAGAGGGGCATTTTCCGAGCCATTTTGTCACAGTGCTCATCTGCAGCTTGGACTAGTGCCTGTTGTCAGAGTTGAGCGTTTCATCTTCTAAATGACATTTAGGAAGTTCAGTTCTAATTTATCTTATTGTCTCCTATTTTATATGTACTGGGAAGTTTTCCCCTCTTTTCTAACTTCTTTACAAATACTGAAAAACATTTCAGTATTTTCCTCCAACTTCTCAGTAGCATAAATCACACATCACCTCTTTATAATTTTTCAGTCTCTCTTGAATCAACAGCATTCTGTTTCAAGCCAAAAAGTGATGCAGACACACTGGTTATCAAAAAAAGACCTAAAGAGGCTAACAAGGGGAAGTGGCCCAGACGGTGAGAAGCTGAAAGGAATCCAGCAATGACCCCTGAATCTGCCCACATGCAAGTCATAACCCTTTTGCTCATTCAGCCGGCACGTTCTTATTAAACACTTTCTGTGTGCCAGGCACGCTGCTGGAAACATAAAGATAAATGAACAAGCCCTTGCCCTCTGGGACATCATTAACAGAACTCCAACAATGTCTCTGACTTCTACGCCTTCACCATTCCCATGGGTTCGGGCACCAAGATGCTGTGTGCACCAGGACACACACCAAGCACCGTGCTAAACACTTTATGTATGACATTCCACTGAATCCTCACACTAGCATGAGGGGTTAGCTTCCATGATCCCCAATTTACAGATAGAAAAAACTGCAACACAAAAGTTCAATTAACTTGCCCTGAGTGACATGGGTTCTAAGTGGTGAAATCAGGGTTTGAACCCAGGCTGTCTGGCGACAGAGTCAGGTGTCCTGGGCTGCACTGCTGTACTAGGGCTTCTGATCCTGGCCACAGCTCATTGAGTTAAGAGTGGACGCCTGAGCCAGGTAGGAGTAGATTCCCACTGGAATTTAAAATTGGCCCAAGGGATACTGGTCAGTCTCTGCTGGCAGCTCAACTGGGATATAGTATATATCTTACAGTGAAGGAAGGGGCGGTAGGAGCATGAGCACGTGGAGGTCTGTGGAAGAGAAGAAGAGAGGAGGAATGCGGAAGCAAGCAGCGATGGGGGTAAGAAGAGACAGGCAGTGACAGAGCCAGACACTTGCACATGAGAAGCTGCCTGAGCCCCAGCACCCAGTTTCTGGTTCCAGCCCTGCACAGAGGCCCAGCTCACTTCCTACCTTTGCATTCCCTTTGAGACGTACCTCTGAATCTTTACTCCCCTGGTTCTGATACTTACCCTCTCCCCAGTTTTTTTTTCTTTAAATTAAGCTGTTTTAAGTGGGTTCTTTTACTTATTACTTGTAAGCAAGAGCCTTCATGAGACAAGCTAGTGTTCTGGTTCAGTGGGCTGGAAAGACACTGAAGAGATATCGGCTGATACCAGCAAGGTGCTATGGACAAAGGTCCACAGAGTTCCAGTAGAGGCTTCGAGGAGAAAGGGAGAGTAAGCCAGACCCACAGGGGTCTGCTGGGTGAAGAAGGGGCAGCAGTGGGGAGAGGAGAATAGCTCTTCCAGAAGATGGGCTCCCATGAATGAGATGGCAGACCATAGCAGGCGTGGTGTGTTCTCAAACTAGAATGAAGAATGGTCCCGTAAGGCTATAGGGTAGGGAAAGGTAGAGCCACAGGAGCAGGGGTGTGCACTGCAAGGGGAAATTTGTGCATTTGACAAGATCACGGATAGTAGAGCTGGTATGTTCATATACCACTCACGTGAGAATGACAAGTTAACATTCATCATGGGGAACTGAACTAAAAGTACCCTATAAGTTAAATCTTATGAGATTTTATTTTATTTTATTTTCTTACTTTGTCAGGGATATACTTTAACTCACATTTTTCTTTTTAATATGTGTGCTTTTAATAAATATCAACTCAAGGTTTGATGATGGTTAATTTTATGTGTTAAATTGACTTGGCCTTGGGGTACCCAGATTAAACATTTTTTCCTGTGTTTCTGGATGAGATTAGCCTTTGAATTGGTGGATTCAGTAAAGCAGATGGGCCCTCCCAAGTTGTGTGGGCATGATCCAATCCACTGAGGGCCTGAACAGGACAAAAGGCAGAGGAAGAAGGAATTTACCACTGTTTCCTGCTTCACTGCTTGAGCTAGGACATTCCATCTCATCTTCCCCCACCCTCACACCAGGATTTACACAGCCAGCTCCCCTGGGTCTTCAGTGTGTATACGGAAGATCATGGGACTTCCCAGTCTCCATAATGACATGAATCACTTCCTCACAATGAATCAATTCATCCCCCATCCCCTTTTTCTTTATATATATTCTGTTTCTCTAGAGAACTCTGACTAATACAGCTTGTTATTTTAAAAAACTCACATTTGAGAAAGGCAGAATTAGGAAATTGAGAGCACAAGAAGATTTTGGGGTCCTTAATAGGTCAAATTCCTATTAGACACTTGTAAATGCTATTTTCAAAGTGATTGGTTGTGGTTGTAGAATACTGCAGTGCTATAAATAGTATGGAGCCATTTGGATGTGGCTGGCAACAGAACTGAAAATGTGGCTCCACATTTCTGCTTGGAGGTATTGACTCTGTCATAAAGACTCAAGCAAATTTTAAACATTAGAAATTGGAGTCCTTATATTTGGGGTCAAAGAGTAACTCACTCCAGAACCTTCTCCCTCATGTTTTCCTAAGTGGCAAGCCATAGCAATAGAAACCTTCTACATTTCCATTGAAATTATCCATTCACCACATTGGGAAATTTATATACTAGCACTACACAATGTCAACTACAGCAGCCAAGTCCATTTTTCATTCCAGGTGTACGTGAAAGGACTCTTTAAAGCCTACTTGAAGGATTCAACGAGGCCATAAAAAGAAATTCTAGTAAGTTGCTTTGTGAACTAGTCTTTCAGTTATAGCCCCTGTGTCAATCATTACTTCAAAGGCCTAATGCACCTCAAAAACACAGTTCCTTTCTTTCTCACAATAGTGAGATACCCTTTGCGTTTTTGGAGAGCAAAGACTGCTACTAGGGGTTCCCAACTCTGTCCTGGCTCAAGAAGGAGAATGACAGATAACATGTCTATTTTCAGAGGGAAGACCGGGTAGTGACAACAAGTAAAAGGAGAATTCAACTCTATGCAGAGAATGAAATAAAATAATTAACATTTATTGAATGCTTACATTTATTACTCATTTAATAATCGCAACTATCTTATAAGACATGTGCTATTATTATTTATGAAATTTTATAAATGATAAAATGGATGTAGGGAGGGGACAGGTAACATTTGCCCAACGTACCCCCAGCCATTACTTTCCTTCCAAGTAAAGACCTGCACTCAAACTTGCATGGTGATGATGAAGTAGGAAAAAAAAAGCAAAGACTGATTTGTCAGGGTCTTTCCAGTTAGTACACAGTGGTAAGTTACTGCATATTAGAGGGACAGATGAAAGGGAACATGTGCCTCCCACCAAATAAAATGATGTCCCTAGAGTTTAAAACAAAAAGCACTCAAAGTGCTAAGGTGCATTTGTAAGTAGATCTGTGTATTTTCGTTCTTTTAATAAAATAGCTTACTGGTCTTTTAAATGTTAATTTAACTGGATAAGATGATATCATTTCTTGGAAAGTCTGAGAATTTTCTACATGAAATCCACAAGGATAAAACCATGGGGAGAAGAGGCATAATAAGGCTGGTGATGCTATTCAGAGAGACTATTCATTTCTGTTTTCCTGTTGTAGAAAACATCTGGGTTTGCCAGTTTTATATCCTCAGGCTCAAATTCTATATTCCGATTTGCAATAGCTCCTACTGAAGCATTTGGACTAATGTAATTAAGTCACACTGCAAAAGCTTAGAAGGATACAGGAAAGGAGGTAGTAGCAGACAATTAAAATCACTCAACCATTTAGAAGCACAGGTCCCCCCACCCCTGATTCCCCATGCTTAAAATACATGCCGTAAGCACTCTCTGTGAAAGCGCTAATATAAAAACCACTTAAGAAATGCACGTCCTCTACGGTCTTTATACCAACTTACCTCCCTAATCATCAAGGTTCCTTCTCTTGAAATACTGCTGCTGAAAGTGTCCACGTGAGAGGTCTCCAGCCCATGCGTCCCGACCATTCCCACATTGTACTGCTCGTTGCTCCCCGGAGCTCCTGTTGGTCTGAGATGGGAAGGAACAACACTCATGGCAATACATATTTAGGGAATACCTGTTTCCTGCCCATCTTAATTATTTTCATTGTGGTAAAATATACATAACATAAAATTTATCACTGTAACCATTTTTATGTGCACATTTCAGTGGCCGTGAGTACATTTCATATTAATTTCAATGTGTGTTGATGCTTGGACTCGTGTCCCACTTCTGCAGAATCCCCTCTTGACTTACTGTTCTCCGCCCAGCAGCCAGAGTGAGAGAGCTGCTGGATCTCTGTGGAAAAAACACTTAAGTTGGCATCAAGGTCTGGAAGGTGCTGCGTGATCTCCTCCTACTGCCACCTCCTCCTTTGACCAGCAGACATCCTGACCTGCTTTTGCACATGCTGTTCCCTCTGCCACGAAAGCACTTCCCGCGCTGGCCCTTGGCTAGTTCTCATTCAATTACATGACACTTTTTGTCTGAGAGGCCTGCCCTCACCACCCTCTGTGTCTTATCCCTTTTTTCTCTTCTCCCTTTTTCTTTAATGGTTCTCATCACAATTTGCAATTCTTTCCATTTTAATTCTCTCTTAACTTTCTCCTTCTCTCTCACTAAGGCATAGGCTAATGAGGGCAGAGTCCCTGCCTCTTTGCTCATCATTATATACCCAGTACCCAGCACAGAACTTGGCCCACAAAAACAAAAAATCAGCTTTATACTATTTCTGAAGAAGAACTATCAATTTGAGAACATTCTGGCTTACAAGAAAATCATTAAAAGGTTAGTTAAATTTAAAGTTAACAAATAGTTTTCATTTTTTGAAAGTATTAAGCACATAGTAGTTAGATTTTTATAAAATAACATACATCTTTAAGTACATCTAATTAGAGTTTCTTGAATGAGGCCTTATTTGATACAGCTCATTTAATGTGGCCTTCCAACATGAAAAGTTTCCCCACCCCTGACATAGAACTTCTCTGATTTAGGACCTCAGGTAAACTAAGAAACAGGCAGATGATGTGGCCCAGCCACAGGCTGAGCTTGGGACAGTATGGCTTGTGGAAGAAAAATTTCAGTTTTCAATGTGATACTTATTGTTCTCCTATTTTAGTATATGTCTCACTTTTAAAGTGATTTTTTTCTGAAATAGGAAAGTTGTCAAGGCTTATTTCTCTCTCAGGTGTATTAATTACAACTTTTGCCATCTCATTCTTTTATTTTAATTGTTTCTTATACTTTTAAAAAATATCTCTGGCCTCTTGGATTGGATCTTAGCAAAGTCCAAGACCTTAATAAAACATGCTATTCAAGAAACAAGAAATATGACAAATTTATACCATCTCTGGAGCAAAGAAAGACATATTTCAAGGACTTTCATCCAAAACAGAAGCAAAAAAATAAGAGGGAGAGTCTAGACAAGAAAATTGCTTGTGCCGAAATTACTAAATTAAAGCAGTGGATTGAAATGAATCTAAATATGGGCTAAAACTGATATGCTTGGGAAGAAATTCCAAAGAAACATTTTTATTTTCAGTATTTCATTCTCAAAAAGAAGCTATTAATAGTGTTCCAGAGACAGGGAAAAAGAAATTGAATTCCTGGCATATTGATAGATTGGTAAATCCCAACAGTTCTCAGAGGTATATTTTTTTACTCTTTTATTTGGATTTTATCTTATATGCACCTTTTCTTTATTTTCTTTCTAGCTGCCTTAGATTCTTGTCTGGAACAAGATGGTGTAAAGCCAATGAGTGAATTATTATTATTAATAATAATTATTAATGAAGTATTAATCAAGAGGCTCTATTGTAAGTAGGAGGGAATTGCTTTTCCTCTTTATCAATCAGGCATTCCTTGCCACTCTCAGGGGCTCCGCTGACCTGGTGGCGGCCACCAGGCTGGTGCTCTGTACAAACTCTCCTTAGCCACAGCCAGTCCTATGGGAGTTCAAAGGTTAAGGAGATTTCAGCTCCACTTAATTTTTTATCCTGATTATGTTCTGATTCTATCCAAACATTTTAATGAGAAATATGTGAATATGGATGAATTTTCATGAAAAAAGTACCAGCAAGATAATTTCCCAATTAATTTCCACATATATCAGTTAAATTCTTTCCCAATTTTGGCATTTTCATTATTATTTTAGTAAAATTATGATCACTGGTTCCAACTCTTTTCCATGTAAATTTTGCAGCACAGATTTCATACATTTTGTTCTTTTCGTCCATATCATCTTTCAAAGGCTTCTGTGGTGACCAAGTATAATTTTTCTAAATCAGTTTTAAGGTTTAAATTTTATTAAGATTTGATTTGTGTGTCGATTTTTAGTCAAGTTCTAAGTATACAGCATTAGCCACTGTTTGTTCTACCATTTGATAAGTGTTTTTACTGAAACTTTTTTCCCTAGGTCAATTTTTATACTCTGAATTTTATGAGCTAGTACTGCTTCATCTATGATAAATTTTTATGGTGAGCAGTTTTGAATTTTATTTTACATTATTTCTACTAATACTATTCCTTATAGATTGAATAAAAGATAACAATCTGTATTTCTTCCTTAGTCAATTTGCTTTCAAAATGGTGAGCAATTCCTCTTAGACAGTTTAGGAATTGTTCTGTTGTACAGGATTGGTCTGTTATGAATCTTTGGTATACATTTGCTTATTCTATGTTCCTTGTGTTAACTGTTCACACCACACTTTTTCTGTTACAGTGTTATTTGATATAACATGACGGCTTTAAAAATTTATTTAATTAAAAAGTTTTAAATTTTCATTAATTATTATAGGTACGTAATACCATGTTTCCTTGAAAATAAGACCTACCCATAAAATAAGCCCCAGCAGGATTTCTAAGCATTTGTGGAATATAAGCCCTACCCCGAAAATAAGACCTAGTGACGGGCATGGCTACACATGTATCTGCACAACCCATGCATTTCGTGGTGGAGCAGTAAAGAAGATGAGCAGCCCTTCTCATCTGCCCCATGAGAGCTCTATTGCTCGACATGAGAGATTGGGCCAATGGTTCTAAAGGAAATAGAGTTGCAAGAAATTCAGGATGGAATTCGGGGTTTGGAGAGTTATGATGATGTTCCAGAAGAAGACGACTTAACTATATTTGAATAAATGTAGACTGTTGTACCGTACTTAAAAAAATAATAATAACACATCCCCTGAAAATAAGCCCTAGGGTGTCTTCTTGAGGAAAAATAAATATAAGACCCTGTTTTATTTTTGGGGAAACATGGTAGTTGGGTATCTTTATAAGGTACATGTGATGTTTTGATATAGGCATACAATGTGAATTAATCAAATCAGGGTAATTGGGGTATCCATCACTTTAGGCATTTAACATTTTTGTTAGGAACATTCCAATTCCACTCTTTTAGTTATTTGAAAGTATACCCTAACTTATTGTTGATTGTAGTCACTTTGCTGTGCTATCAAATATTGTTCATTCTAACTATTTATCTAACTACATTTTTGCACTTTACAAGCCTCAGTTAGTGGCATTACAAGCCATTTATTTATCCATGCTAGAAACTCCATGGTTATCCCAGACTACTTTCTCTCATCTACCCCACATAATTCAATCTAGATCTTGCCTGTTCTGTCTCCTAAACATGTCCTAAATATTTTTTGTCCTTTCTGTGACTGTCCCAGGTAGGTCTGCTTCCTCCATTACCTGACAAGAGTCTTCCTGCTGGTCACCATATCTCTAGTCCTGTCTTCATATCACTCCTCACAGCTGCAAAAGTGAGCGCTCTAAAACACAGACCTGACTGTGTCACTTTTCTGCTTCCAACCATCTGTAGCTCCCTATCAACCACAGGATAAACTTGAAGCTCCTTAACTGTGGCATACAGACCCTCCATTTCTCATTCTTGTCCATCTCTCTAGCCTAATTTTTTTAACCAAATCCTGCCCCCCACTTCTATATATACTATATATACTATATATATACTATATATACTTCTATATATACTATGCTATAAAATCCTTGGTAACTTTAATTTGCCCTCTCTCCCTGGAACATGCTTTTCCATTCTCTGCCTCCCTGCTGGCTAACTCATTCTTTAAGCTGCAGTTCAGGTACCCCTAAATCTGTCCCAGCCCCAGTGGGATAGTTTAGGTGGCTTTCCACTCTGCTTCCATATTGCCCTCTGTGCATTTCTACCACTGCATTCAATACACAGGCCTGCAATGATCAGATCTCATCAACATTGGTATGGTTAATGCCAAGCACTGTGCCTGGCATGCAGGTAGCACCTGGTAAATGTTCATTAAATCACTGAGGGTCTTGGGTCAAAGGCTTTGTTTAATGCCTCTAATAGAGATTTCATTCAGGCATATTGTCAAAACATAGCTTTTCTGTGAATTGATGAGTGATCAGCTATGAGGATAATTATTAGCATTTTTAAAATGCCCTAAATAAACTAAATGAAGTTTTGCCATTTTATAATTTAAAAGGTAACTTTGGCATTGGATTCGCTAGGATGTGCTAAAATAATTTTCTTATAATTAGGTGATTATTATAAGATAACAGAAAATCTGTTCAGATGTCATAGAACTTTATAGCACAAAAAGTAAACCTTAATGTATGCAAATTTTAAAAAAATTATTGGGGAGGTCAGAAGATCCTAGGAGAGAATATAAATTGTGATCAGAAAATCTAACTATATTACAACTGTCTGAACAACTTCAGTGAGGAGGGATGGCCGAAAAAGGCATTGACTTAAATAACCCTGGAAATGAGTGGAGTCTGTAAGACTAAAGGCAAAAGGGACTGCATGCACATAAGCATTGTACTTTAGTTGATAAAGTTGTTTCCCATGAGGGTAGGGTTCAATAATTCTGATATTTTTATATATGTATACTGGAAGTGAGCAACTAAGTAAATAGGTGGTGGATGGTAGGAGCCAGGTTTCTCACTGTCAGAGTGGGAATTTACAAATTAGCAAGGGGTGGGGGTTGGAATGATCCATATTTTTATTTCCTTGCTCCATCAGCTGAAAGGGCCTAAAGCAAGTGACACTCCTGTAGCAATGAGCACATCAAGTGCCCAGATATTGGTTTCTAATATCATCATCCAATACAAGGAATCAGGGGTCCTTTAAGAAGTGGCTGATTCCAGGATTGTTATAGGAAATATACAAAATGAGTCTGGTCTAGAGCATCTTGTATTGTCAGAAAGTAAGTATTCAAAATGCACATGTGAGTTCACACATATACGCACATAAATGGTAGTATGTCAGTCAAGGGGGCATAGGAGCTAACTGAAAGAGCTCCCAATGGTCAAAGCTGGAAAAATTTGAACAACAAAATAAAGAAATATTGGATTATAATCCAAGTAAAAAATAAATATCCATGAGTGTATATTGATATAAATGCATAATTGAATAAATTACTAGGTAGAAAAGAGACAAATCTCCTGTGTAGAATTCAGAATAAATTATGCAGATACTCCATCTTAAAGGAGGGAAGCATGAGTCCCCCTCCTTAAGTGTGGGCTGTGCCTAGTGTCTGCCCTCCACAGGGTATAGTATAGAAAGGAGGAGAGAAAACAATCACCACACAGTGCAGAACCTTGACAGGTGATCAAGGCGAACACTAACAGTCTAAATCATGTTGAAAGTATCTACCCTTGACATAATGTGATAAAAATGTCATGATACCTCTATGATCCTCTTCCAAAAACCCATAACCCTAGTCCTATCACGAGAACAACATCAGATAAATTCCAACGGTGTGGCATTTTACAATATACTTCATCAGTACTCCTCAAAACTGCCAAGTTCATCAAAAACAAAGAAAGTCTGAGAAAGTGTCACAGCCAAGAGGAGTCTAAGGAGACATGACAATGAGATGTAATGTTATATCCTAGATGAACCCTGGAGGAGCAAAAGGACATTAGGGTAACAACTAAGGAAATCTGAATAAACTATGGATTTTAGTTAACAATGATATATCAGTATTGCTTCATTACTTGTAACATACGCACTACACTATGCATGATGTGAGATGCCAGTGAAAGAGGAAACTGTGTGGGGGCAGAATGGTAGTGGTAATAACAGGGGAACTCTTGTTATTATCTGCTCAATTTTTCTGTAAATCTAAAATTACTCTAAAAAATAAAGTGTATTAATATTAAAAGAACGAGGGAAAAGGCAATCATTAAAAACTCACTAGGGCTAAAACAACAACATGTTATTGTAGTTAAGGTAATCCTTTGTTCTAAAAATTATTTTTCCAATATAGAGAGTGGGCAGGAAAAATTAGTTGTCTAAAATCCTATAAAGACTGTAAAAAGCAAAACAAAGCAAAACAAAAACTCTCCACTGATTAGCAGGAAAACTATAAGAAATTTCCTGTAATTATGCTGCAGTTTTAGAATAATAATTTCTTCTAACTGGATTTGCCAAACTGTTCCTGGAATATTGATTTATTCAATTCAATATACGTTCACTGAGTACCTTCCGCTAGTTGAAAGGCCCTTGGCTTGGCACTGGGTATTGGATATAAAAGCTGAACAAGACATGTTTTTTTTTTTGAAACAAAGTCTCACGCTGTTGCCTGGGCTAGAGTGCTGTGGCATCAGCCTAGCTCACAGTGACCTCAAACTCCTGAGCTCAAGTGATCCTCCTGCCTCAGCCTTCCGAGTACCTGGGACTACAGGCATGTGCCACCACGCCCGGCTAATTTTTCTATATATTTTTAGTTGGCCATTTAATTTCTTTCTATTTTTAGTAGAGACAGGGTCTCGCTCTTGCTCAGGTTGGTTTCGAACTCCTGACCTTGAGTGATCCACCCGCCTCGGCCTCCCAGAGTGCTAAGATTACAGGCGTGAGCCACCGCGCCCGGCCAAAGACATGGTTTTTAGGACTAAAGAAAAATGTAACAAACACTCAAATACAAAGCAGGACATAAGTGAGAATGAAGGGCAGAGGGAGGGGTCATCCCAGGGAGGGTGCAATACTGGAAATGGACAAGGCCTTTGCAGAGTGGAGGAGAAGGTCAGCCTGGCTGGAGCATATATGCTAGCATCAGTCAGGGTCCTGAGGAATTCAAAGGGTTGTAGGAACTAGGGATGGAGCATGACCAGAGTCACCCTTCTGTGACATTATTTAGGCCAGAACCCAAACATTTTTTAAAGAAAATTTGGATTCAGTTAAAAGGCTGCACTTAAGGATCTGGAAGTCCACATGTGGCTTTACGGCTGCAGGTTCCCCACCCCTGGAAACAACTCTTCAAAGCCAGGACTTGCAATTTCAATTCAGTCCAGTTAAATGTAAATCAAAGTCACTGAAGACCCACTCTATTCCAAACACCATGCAACGTGTGAAGAGTAAGAGAGATGAGCAAGACAAAATCCTCACTCTCACAGCCCAGAGAGGGACACAAACACATAATAAATAATCCTGACTCAAGGCACTACACTAAAATGCAGAAACACACACAAGATACAGTGGCAGCAAAGAAGAGGGGACAGGCTCTATCTGAGTGGGCTGGGTTGTGAGTAGGTGATTTCTGAAGGAACAGGAGAATGTCAGCAGACAGAAGTGCAGCATAGTCTACTCAGGGAATTTTAGAAAGGCGGGTGTTTCTGCAGTGGGGGAGAAGTCCCAGATTTGCCTTCAGAGGTAGGTGGGTGACCACCATTTAATAGCCTTCCAAAATATGACAGGGGGGCTTAAAAACCAAATGCCAATTAACATTTTTTCCCAAACAGTCTTTAGTTGCTCCTCCAAATATTTGTATTAGCCTGCAGTTTGCCATGTGTGATTTTATCTCTTTCTAACTAGAACATAAACTTTTGGAAGGCAGAACCCAAGTATAAACGTCTCAAATCTCTCAAAACTCTCAGCATGGTGTCTAACACACAGTGGGAGTTTTAGCAATATTTTAAATTCATAATCTACTCTCACCCTGATAGCTGTATGCTCAATGCTTAAAAGGAATTCAAAACATCTGTTATAAGAATTAAGCAATGCTGAGTCAAGACAAAAACTGAAATAAATGGCCAGCATGTTTTGCAGAAAAGTTCCAAATTAGTGGTTTTGCCTCTAGAACAATTTTATTTGCTGTTAAAAAAGCAATGTAATGCAATTTGTTTCAAAATGTCATATTTTAGCATATTTACGGTTGTCAATAACGGGGTAATCAACAGCAAAATAACAAGTATGGATTTTCAGAGCTATGATAATTGGATTTGTCTCTCAGAATTGCTTGTATTTCATGGTGGTTAATCAATGAATGACATGCCCTGCAGACTGGCTAACCCTACTCTCCAATCCATGCTGAACAGAACAATAATTTATGGCTTTAAATGGCATCTTCTCTATATAGAGTGAGTGTGGTCTGATGGTCAATACTACTAGCTGAGTCACAGAAATGGAGGTGAATGAAGAGTGAAGTTGGAAAAGTTAGCATCACATTCTATTAAGGTTATAGCAAATCAGGGCAATGGCTTCTTGTGTTTATTTGGGAAAGGAATTGGGGAAGCAATATGGGATGGGAACAAGTTCTTTCATAAGATCCACTCCTACGAGGAAAAAAGAAGTAAAGGCTACAACTACTAAGGGAATATATAGGTAGGTATAAATACACATACAAATGTACAAAAAAGATTGCAAAGAGATTGACAGACAGTATGTGGCAAAGATGCAGACCACAGAAAAATGGATCAAGTAAAAGAGACAATGAAGGGGATGGAGTGGAAAATCATAATGGGGTGTATTTAAGTCAAACACCTGGATGTTTCTCTGTAAGATTATCTGACTCTTGATTCTTTTGTTGGGATGCTAATCCATGGTGCTATACGCATGTCCCCTTATTTATTGGTAGCAGTGGTGGTGATGCAATGTATGTCTCATGTTAATTTTAATTCCTAAATGTCATTGCCCATAATTTCTCTCTTTCAGTTCTATGGGGAAAGGCTGGTGCCAACGGTTTGGTTGTCAAAATTGTTTGTCCTGGAGATGAAAAGAACCAAGAAAGTCACCAAAAGGACAGTCAATTCTATGGCAATGGGTAGGCAAAGTGAATGCAGTCCTATTAGAAATGCTACATATTCTAAGTGATTGTGTCTATGGGAGGAGATAATTATAAAACTATGCTCTAATAAAAATTCAAATCCTTAAAGTCAATTTATCTTGCCAGAGATCCATATACAATCTTATACTTAATTCATATTTCTTGTCCTTTTGTTTTGGAAACCTAGTTCCCTCCTGGTCTACGTTTAAAAAGTAGTCCTCTTACATCAGTCTGGGTATGTCGCTGACAGCCACTGTCCCATCATGGGTCTCACTCTCTCCATCTTCTTCCTCTTCTTCACTGCTCTCAGACTCCTCACTGGAAGAGGAGTAATCGGTCACCTTCTTCAGTGGGCGGTTTGTTTCTTCAATCCGCAGTTCTCTTAATTCTTTGGCTAATGCTGTCAGATCCTACAAAATAAAAGTTTGTTCAGCATATGAATGGCAGATACGATCAAAGCTACATCTCTCAGCAAGTCAGCGCTCCAGCTTAAGCAACGAGAAAAAAAAGCTCTCTCTATAAAACTGTGACAAACGTAGTTATTGCATGGAACTAAGAAACAATGTTTGTAGCATGTAGAAAAGCTAGAAAAGAAAGATGAAATCAATTTAAACTTTGTTCAAAACCAATAGCTAGACTGAGACTGTTCAGTTCTGAATAAATACGTGGATATATGTGTATGTGTATATATGTGTATAAACATACACATGTATACAAACATTGGGCTCTCATTTTATTTTAGAAAGGTGAAGCTGGTCACCCTCAGAGTTAATGGGAAAGTATACAGGTTTAGAAATTGTTCCCCAGTATTCTGGGACTCCTGCCCAAGCCACAGTGATGGCTTTCCCCTTTATGATTGCTACTGCACCAAAATCTAGCATCAGTCATAGAACAGAGCAATTCCCAAGGTTCCAGCTAGTACAATGACTCATTTGGTGTGTCATCATTCCCTGGAGAGCAGCGGCACCATATCGAATCATGGCCCACCCCAAAGCCTAGAGCCACTGAAATTGATAGCCACAGAGCTGAGTAAATCAAGAGAAAAAAAAAGTTCTCTTCCAGAATAACAGGTGTTTCATTTTCTTTTGTTTTAAATTCCAGCCACCTGGCAGAAACCCTGGCAAAGAACACAGAAATGAATGTGCAAACACCAAAAGGAAGAGATCATTTTTCAGTTTTCCATGAGTATGATGAAACCTTTAGCCTTATGGATGTGATGATGTGGTATCTAATCACCAGGCATATTGCAGGCAGTGTGCTGAGTATCTGACTACCTTTTATTTTACATGCTTTCAGAGCAATGCAGAGGAAGCAGTTCTGCAAAAGCATGGCCGCTCTAATTTGCATGGGTTAAACTGCCCATGGCACACAGCATGCAAATGAGGAAAAAGCAATTTGACATCAGTCTTACCATTTCTCCCTATATAAGTGACCCATGTGGGAATCAGAGCATTCAGTGAGAGACAGGGCATTAGGGAGAAAGAAACTCGTTGAAAAATACTAAATCCCACAGTTTTCTTATGGCCATATTCTCTCTTTATTTTAATCCAGAAATGTATTCATCCAATTCCCTTGACGTAGGATTAGGGCAATCTGAGTGATCTAAATGACTTTTGATAATCTATCCTAATTGGTTAGAGGAAAAGCTGTGATAAATGTGTTAAGTTATAATTGTATTTTGAGAAGACAACAAACTCATGTTTCTCTACTGCCACCTATATGTCAGGTATTATTACTTTAGTTAAGACTAGAAGAGGAAACAACTCAGGTACGTCATTTGGTCTAGAAATTTAAGAAGTTCAAGGTGTTATCAAAGGGAAAGCAATAATGACTTCTAAATTTGTTCTGAAGTTACTTGAATAGAAGCCCTTGAAAAACTGAAGTTTCTGAAAATTCAAACTGTGCATTATGTATACAAACACGCTTGCTAGGGTTTTTACACACATGCACACTTGCGCATGCCTTAATCTCAGCGGATGTATTCCCACATCCGCGAAAGTGAAAGCAGAATTGCATTAAAAAGGCTCAAATGTGCTTAAATATAATGTATACTATAAAAAAGAGGAAAACTACAACACAAAATTTTATGCACATTTATTTCTGGTTTCTTTGGCAATGGGCCAAAATAGGAAAAACTAATATCTGAATTTCAGTTTTTTATTTATTTCCTCTTGACAATTATCAATGTTTATCTTTATCAAATGAAGAAGGAAATGAAGGGTATGCTATACTTAAGGACATTGGGAAAATATATCTCGGTATTTGTTAAATATATTTCAAATAAATATATTTGAAAATATATCTCGGTATTTATCTAAAATAAAAACAAATTACATAAGTTTATTTTATATTTTGATGTCTATATGTTAGGACCATGTTAAATCTCATCAAAGAATATAACTAGTATTTAAAATGTTACTTGTCATTAAAAATAATGATTTATATAATTTAAAGAGAGAATATGGTTTGAAAAAGTTTATTTATATCGTCAATAATTCTGTGAGTAAAATATAATATGATTGCTATGATTTATTTAAATTAATGATACATTTTCCCCAAGGCTTGATTTTATTATCTCTGACATTTCAAAACAAGACAAAATAAATTTTTTTAAATCAAAATTATTTAGCAATAGTTAATTAGTCCACAGGCTATTGATTTAAAGAAAATTTTACTTGTTATTAATAAAATGACCTAAATTTTTCCAAGCACTGTATTTAGAAACACTTTAAAGTTCTGACCTGCTTTATCATTTTGCTTTTAATTAGAATTTTTTGCTTTCTGTAACTTTAAAAAGCTGTATTTCCTGAAACATTAGAAATAATTGAAAATTCCTTTTAAGTTTAATTGGTAACAGCTTGAAGGGTAAGACATATATGAAAATCCCAAGGCAACAATAATGAGTAACTCAAAAGTAATACCCCCAAAGAAAATTAATCTTCCATTGCCAATAGCCTAGGTATTTAGCTGAAGTTTTGTTTCTTATCCATCCACTATGGAAAAATTTACAATAGCAAAGTTATAGGAAATAGACATGATCTAAAACTGACATCACTGGGTTCAGATCCATTTTCATACATTTTGCTCTCTGACAATACCAATTTTCTCCATATAATGAGTCTTTGTAGTAATTTATTGCTTGGCTGTCTCAAGCCTGGAGCTAAAAAGTATTTTAAAAAGGAAATGAAAATTCTATTTAGCATGAAAAAAGTGTAAAAATGTGTAACTAAAAAATAATATGGCAAAATGATATAAGATTTTTCTATTATGGAGTAAATGTGAAGATAGTTAAAAAACTCTTACCCAAAGGCTTCCTTGATGTAACACTTTTGAGAATCAACTTGATGTAATTTTTCATTCAGCAAAGCTTATTTAATCTGACAATTATGCACATCTTGCCTTAAAAGGTGCTCTTCTAGATCTCTTTTTAGAAACATTATAGTTTAGTCAAATTTTAGTTCAATTTTTTGAACTATAATTTTGTTTAAAAATTTTAAGCTGGATTTTTCTTTATGTATTAAAAGTGTTTATTTCCTTTTTAGGAAATCTAAAGATATGACATTAGGCAAGTCACTTAACTTCAGGGTCCTCACCTGAGGAATAAAGGGGTTGGGTTGGACTGCCGGTTTTTACTAAACTTCCATCCAATCTATGGATGTGCTCTGGAATTTTTCAGACTCCTACATACACACTAATGAATAAAAACTAGTAAAGCCAGTGTTAGCTTGTGTATATAATCTTCACATTGCAATTAAATAATAGGTAATTATTTAATATGGCTTTTATTTATTTTCAAATTAAATGATTACACACTATTCTACAGAATCTCATATTCCATTAAGTAATGCCACATTAATGAACAACACTCCTCCAGATTGATTTGTGTGAAAAATTAAACCATTTAATTAGCCATAATAAGCAACTAGTTTTCAAAAAGAATTTTAAGACTTTTTATGTCAATGCTGCTTATCTAAATGGCAAAACAGTCACTGAGAGGGAAGCCACATCAAAACCTACTAATGGAGAAGGGGAAAAGGCTTAGTTTAAGGTTTCTCAAGTGTGGCGCTACTGACATTCTGGGCCAGATAATTCTTTCTTGTGGGGAATTGTGCATTTGTGGGATGTCCAGCAGCAGCCCTCCGCTTTATCCACAAGTAGCACTGCCTCCCACCCCAAAGTTGTGACAAGCAAAACTGTCTTCAGACTTTGCCAAATGTCGCCCAAGGGAAGGGGAGTGGAGGAACCATTCCTGGTTGAGAACCCAGTAATCCTGTATTCTTCCAGAGCAGGGAACCAGAATCACCTGCAGGGCCTTTTCCAACCACACATGGCCCTAGAGATTACGGTGTGCAGCTGACACTCCCTCAATTATTTATAATGACTTATACCTCTGCTGCCCTCTCTCATCTCTGTCCGGTGTGGTGCAGTACACTACAATAAATAAAGCAATTTTTAAAAGCCTAAAATGTCCTGTTTAACTAGATGAAACCCATGAGTGCCCTGTCCTGCATGACAGCCCCATTCAAGCCAATTTTTGGACTCATGAAAGCAATTCCTCCTGAGTTGGGTATGTGCATGCGTGCACACACACAACCATTCCATTGGCAACCACAGCACCAGAACATCATTCTCTTTCTTTACCTGTTCTGGGAGAAAACTGGTAAAAGTTGTGATAAATCACCGTCCTCCTCGCTCTTATGAGGGAAAGGGGCAAGCAAGGCCATGGCATGGAGCAAGGAAAACCAGTCCCCTCTTCCTTTCCTATAAACGCCATCCACACACTGCAGACATGCAGAGGCTCATCTTGTAAGCAAGACTCCTTTAACGATAGTAACAAGTTTCTAAGTCAGTCTGAATGGGGAGGCTCCTTGGTGAAGACTAGATGCATAGAAACATGCTTCTCCCACCTGCCAAAACAGCTCCATGCGTCTGGCCCAAACCCTAAGAGCCAAGTCAAGACAAATTCTTGGCTTTCTGTAGCACTTCATACTTCCTAAAATGCTTTTGCACAAATCACTTCAAGTGACCCTCAATAATCCTTTCAGTGAGGCATAGAAGATGTTTTCATTCCCATTCTACAGTTGAGGAAACTCTGGCCCAGAGAGGTTATGGGACTAGTCCCAGCCAGTTATAGACTATAGAGGGAGCCAGGACTTGAATGCAGCTTGCTGATCCCAAAGCCAGGGCTTTTTCCATTCAATTTCACAAAAATAGTGCTCAGCAGAGCCACAGCCTTAAAGCTGTAATGGTAGTCTTTAGATTCCATGCATTTAGGACTCTTTGCAAGGCCTGGCTCTTAAAAAAAGAAATCTACTATGCTGTATTCATGCAAGTCTGACAAACAGCAGAAGGGCAGTCATCCTTCTTAGCAAACTACCTACGATTGACAAAGCTATATATTTTTCTAATGGAAAAATGTCTCCCTAGATAAGGAAATAAAGTCACTTAACTTGTCAGGATTCATTAACTAAGGCTGATGTTGCTGCTGATGCTGTTGTTAATGTCCCACAAAATTAATCTAACAACACTTGGTAACTCCTTGTTCACAAATCACACACTATAAATTTGGAGTCCCCTAGAATGATGTCTTTTCTTTCTTAGAAAAACCACTGAGAGCTAAGGCTGGCAAGTACAAGTTTGCTACTGGGAGATAGTGGAAGGAGAAACTGCCATTAACAGAGCACTATACCTGTCATTAGCCAGACTGGAACATTGGAAAAGTGACATTCTAACTTAGAAGGAAGGTCTCTGAAGCTTTATAGGGGTAGGTCTGAGGGTCTTAAACCCGCTTTCATTGAAGGGGCTCTCCTCCCAGCTGATCACTGCAAATGACTGGACTTTAAATCTGTGACCCCACTGGGCACCTTTCTGAATGTCAATATCAGGAAATAAATTTAATATTTACATCTTGTGAAAGCATGACCAAGAGAAAAGGTAATACTAACCTCATCTATAGCTTTCTTATAGCTCTGAGATGAGAGGAACCCAATCCAGAAGAATCCACAGAAGACGGCAAAGCCAGAAGAAAGCAGCAGGTTAGACACAAAATTGGGATCGTTAGTACAGAAACGGTAACTACAAAAGGGCAAAGGGAACTTCAACTCAGAATTATGCAAATTCCTTCATTACCACTTGCAGTATACTTCCTGATTTTAAGATATAAAAAAGGGAGTAAACCAAAAAAGCTTCATATTCATTTTGTAGAAAAGATTCTCAGAAAATTTAAATATAGTACCCTTATTTTTACTGGGATAGGAGCTCATCCCAAATTAATTTTCAACTTTCAAATTTCAGCCTCTATGTTCTACTTTCTTTCTGTAAGGCTACTTGGGGTTTTGTCATGTCATAGCAATGAACTTGGATTTCAAGTTGTCAGGGCTGAGTTGGACCATGCTTGTCAAGTTTTGGCCCAGAAAATACAGTTCGAGAGAGATGAAGAGTAGCAGAAAAACTATAATACTAATTCATATGGAAAGCAATATGAGGAAAGAGCAGAACAGACATGAGAAACGCATAGAAAGTGCCCACGTGTCCTTAACTGCTAGTTTTAACATCTTTTTGCCAAAGTTGCTGAGTAGAAATTATGGAATGGGTATGAGTTATTTTTCTTCCTGTTTTATCTCTAAAGGAGTGCTGACAATCAGCAAAATATCCAAAGGCAGAGGACAGCAATCCAAGATCTGTACAGTTCTTTCCTAATTAGGGATGATTTTCTTCTGGATGTTTCCAGCATCCATTCTTTTTATTAATCTCAACAATTTTTGTTCATAATTAATCATGAGTGTATCCCCAATCACTGTATCCTGCGGTTTCTCTGGTAAATGAAAAGAGTTCGAAGGTCTTAGAGAGAAAAGCACTCACAGCTGGTCGACTAGGCCGGGTGATGTCCCTGGACTCTTCTGGCTTCACCTTGACAGGCTCATGGGGGGGCACAGGCGATCCTTCTGACTTACTGTTGGCTACAGGAAAGAGCAGAGGGCAAAGAGGAGATGACCATGAGAAAGGCTGGATCCAGTTCTGCATGCGTCATCTCTGATGAGTCATCCCTTCAGGATTACTCAGTGGCCGCATCATTCACTTAGGCAAATCCTCAAGCACAGCCATGGAAAAATAATAAGTTCAGGCAAACACATTTAAGCTTGTAACCTGAAGTCACTCGTAATAATAAGAAAAATGGTAGCAGGCACCACTACCACCGCCACTTACTGAGCACTTATGATGTGTCGGGCATAATGAATGCCAAATGCTTTCCATGTCAATTACCTCATTTAATCCTTGCTCCAACCCAGTGGTGTGGTGATATTTTGCTATTTTATAGTTGAACACAGACTTAGAAAGATGACACAGCTGGCCTGAGGTGACGCTGAAATCATGGACAGAGCTGGGATTCTGTCTGATTTCTGAAAGTCCTACTCTTAATCACTAAGCGGAATCAGCTTCTAAGTTAGGGTGCTGTGCTTGGCTCCTTCCTTTCCCATTTACCCATCAGGGTAGGCTATTCTGATGGAGTTTTGTGAGAAAAAAAAGGACACCTATTTTATGTGGTCAAATGGTTTTTAAGTGGGGGTAGGAGTGGTCTGTGCCTTTTAAGGACAGAAGAACTGGATGAAGACAGGAAGGAAGGTGTTGCCCTGGAAAAGACGTGCAGAGCACGGTGGGGAGCAGGGTGGCTCCCCAGAGCTGCAGAGGGAATAGCATCTCTCCAGCCTGTGAGCCCACAGGTAGAGAAGAGGCAATCTGTGGTAGGGGAGATTGTGTTCTGTTTTGTTCAAAGTGGTCTTTCCTGGGCAGGGATGTACCAGGGATATAAGATCTTTTGTAACCCGAAAAAACTAGGGGCTGAAGGAAAGAATATAAGAATTAAGCCCAAGCAGATTAGAGAATTAAAATCGTATGTATAAGTTTGGTTTTCTTTACTATTAGCTCTAATATGAAATTACTTATGAATAGTAAAAAAGGAAGGGATGAGAGTTTTCTAAATTAAGAAAATTTATATTTGGATCAAGATAACAAAAAGGTACAGTGGGTAGCTCTGGGATGTGCCAGTGGTCAGAGAACGCACATGAGTCAGCCATATCCTATCCCGATCTGGACACGAGAACATCACGTTAGACATCAAGCTTTTCAAAATGGACATACAGTGATTTACTTATTAAAAATCTTAAGAAGATATTAGGCAGTAAACTGTGTGATCGTGTGTAATAAAGAGGCTAAGAAAGAAAAGAGAACTGGTGATTTTTAATCAGACAGTAATTTATAAGCATATTAATATTTATCAAATTACACTTTCAAAAATACTTGTCTTTATCACTTGGAAGCAAAATTATCTTTGGAAGAAACTGATTCAGAAAGAATGAATTTTTTATCAGTTAGAAACAATGTATTGTTATGTATCATTACCCGGACAATAATAATCTTTTTCACAGGGTTCTCCATTAATGAAAACTAAACTGTGATGGATTGTTTGAATTAAACATTTAGAGAGGCTAAGTTTTACCCATCTAATAGAAATAGCCAATAGAGTCAACTTTTTTTTAAGTAAAAGATTTTACTTTTTTCAAGTGTATTTATTCTATATTAGTCTTCACTAAATTTCATTTTGAGAAATACCTAGTATTCTTCAGAATTCTTAAAGAGACTGTTGGCACAATGTGCACAGGACATTTGGGAGTACATGAAACTCTAAACACAGGCTATCAAATAGAAATGGAAATTCAAGTGACTGGTAAGGGACTGTATTTTCAAATAAGACCACTATTCGGTGATCTCCCTAGAAAACACTGGTTTCTGAGATTAGGAACCATTTTGTCCATACTCTGACATCACACACAATTAGGGACGGTGGCCCACTCCCCTGCGGAGACTGAGGGCGAGAGCAGGTAAGGGGCTGTTCAAGATCACACAGTAGTGGCCACACAAAGACCAGAGTCAGAATATAACCATTTTCCTTGCTCACAGCTTTCCTCCCCAGGCAATGCTGCCAGGGAAAAGTAAGAGAAAGCGTTACCTCGAACTCTGGTGCGTTCACTGGATCCCGCGTGCGATCCAGGCTGGGAGCCTCCCTGGGAGCTGGGCTGGGAGCTGGGGGTGCTGGAGCTGGAGGAACTGCCACTGCTGGTCCTCTGCAAGGGGCTCTCCAGGATGGGCTCGGTTCTCCGGAGATCAGGGTTGCTGTGTGGACGACAGAGCTCATGGATTACACTCTCGAGACCATGCCAATTTTGCAAACTATGCATTTGGTAAGGGGTTAATTTCTAAAACACATAAGGAACACCACTCAATAACAAGAAAACAACTTAAAAATGGGCAAAGGGCCTAAATAGATATTTCTCAAAAGAAGCCATACAAATGGCCAACAGGTATATATTAAAAAATGTTCAACATCATTACTCATCATGGAAATGCAAATTAAAACCACAGTGAGAGGCCGGGCACGGTGGCTCACATTAAGGTGCTTCCAATACCTTGCTGTGACATGTAACACTGAGACAGCCATCTACCTGCATACAAATACCCAATCACATCTTTATTTTCTGGAATTGGAATTCTTGGATGAAAAGGCATAAACTAGGGTTTGTGTGTGTGTATATGTGTGTATGAGCATATAAAGGTATTACCAGTTTGCACTAAAGTGTATGTGCTGGTCCATCTCATTGAATTCTTACCACTTTTTATTATGAGCAATTTGCTAAATTGTATCTTGCTGCTTAAGTGCAGTTTTAAAAAATATTACCACTGTGGTAAAATAATTATTATTCATGTTTATTTGCCATTTATAATTCTTCTTCTGTGAGTTGCTTAAACCCATCCTTTGCTCATGTAGCTAGTGGAGCCTTTGTACTTACTATTTTCTTGCAGGAAGTCTTTATATACTGAGGCTATTATCAAAGGGAGGCTGGTAATTGTTATAAAATGCTAACTCAAGAACAAATTAGTTTGTTGGTTGGCTAGGAGCCCTCAATTTAAAAAAGACTTTGCTGTATTATTCATCTTCATATCTTCACTGTCCCCAAAATAGCAGTATTCATTCACTCACTCAGTTGTCCTATACCAAGCACTAGGCCAGGCATTTGAGATACGGTATTGAACAAGATACAGCCCGTGCTCTCTGCGAGCTTAGCCAGATAAACACAGTCTAATTCATTCGTGCCCTGCCTGCAACTTAGAACCAGACAATATGGGAGGACCTAGAACACTCTTGACAATCAGGGAAGCTGTACCAGGAGAGGAGACATGGAAGCAGTGGTGGTGGGAGGCAGCTGCTGAGGTTTTTATGATTTCATTTAAAAAATAAGCAGAATTTTCAAAGTTTCTAAAAAACGTTTCCTTTTAAGTTTATAACTCCTAGGCCTTTTCATTTTTCTGTTAGATTTGCACAATGCTGGGCATGGAGAATTTAGTGAGACCTGAAACTCAAAGCTCCAGTGTATGGCCATCCATTGCTGAGGGGAAGAAACCGATCCAACATTGATTCCCTCCGCATTTCCAACATCTTCATTTCCCCAAACAGAATTTGTTAATAGAGTCACCATAGTGCTATGATTTTAATGCAATAAGATATCACAGTAAAATGTAATTTTATATTTTAATTTTGCTCTGCCTAGTCCAAGAGTACCAAGTGCATACCAGTCACTTTGCACTGTGTTTGGTGTTAGCTGTTTCACATATAAATTTGAAAAAAGTCTGACCCCTCCCTTGAGACATCTGTAGTTTAGTCTACAGTAATCTGGCCATAAAACACACAAAACAGCATCTTTATAAGCAGCAGTTAAACCAAATCATTTCTTTTTGAAAACACAAGAATGTTGCTTTGTAGTAATTTATCTGCCAAAAACATTTGAGTAAAAATGAATAGCAACCCTGGAAAACTTCAGTGGAAAACATATGTAAAAATAAATATGTTCTCATAATTTATTGATTTTGATCTTATAAATGTAGAACTTATGACAATATTTACCTTTGCAGTTTTTTGTAGCTAAAGGGGTTGCTAAGTTAACCTACCAGTAAAATCAATTGCAGAATGACCATTGGTAAATTGAGAAAGACTTAAAACTTTTTTTGATGCCTTAATGGCATTCCTTTGTGTAGTAACTATTTTTGTGAAGATTGTTTGTATCAAATTGATAGATTTGGATCCATACTGGAAATACCCTTAATGTAGAAAGCACCTAAAATGATAAATGAATAACACTTTTAAAGTATCCTACATTTCAAACTCTTCATTTTTTTATAAACAACACAACCCATCTCCTTTAATTCTCAAATAATGAATTCTTCTCTACTTGCCCTCTATTATTAAATAGTAGTGGTCAAAAATTATTATGCATAGTTAATAATAAATTCCAAAAGTATTTGTTCTAAAAAATGTATTGCTAACCAACTGTATTGCAGATTAAGAATGATGGGCATGTTAAGGTTTCTTGGTGTTGCTCCCATTTTGTGGAATGGTGATGCAGTGTTCTTTGTATTACAAAAAAACACCTATTGAGAGAGGGGGAGCTGGTGATAGGTACTTTTCCCCTAGTGGTTGTGATGTGGTAGCAGGATCCAGCTACTTGCTCTAATGTAGCACTCCTTTGATTATTTAGCCACAATCTTTTTATTAAGCACCTACTTTGTAAGACTCACTGGACCAGGATGAGGGGTGGGGGAAAAGCACAGGCCATAGGGCAAACAGCGAAGTCACGACATGATCATGCAGATGAGATACGTACGTAGACACAGTAGGAGACATGGCAAAACTCTGCATGTTGTGTGTGGAAGAGACTGTAAATGCTGTTGGAGTTTGGGGAACAGTAAATGCAGACTAGAGTGGTCGAGGGTGGTGTTACGAAGAAGATAGGACTTGAGTAGGCCTTGGAGTAGCGAGCAGGAAGCCTGGGAAACCTCCCGAGCAGAGACTCAGGGCCCAGGCTTTCCTGGGACATGTGGACGCAGAGGACAGGGCTGGACACAGTGCCAAGTCTGTGTTAGGAAACTCCGGGAGAGTGGCGTGATCTGAAGAAAGGGGTGGGTTGTAAAGTAACAGCTTTTATGGCCTGGCAGAGAGTGCGAACTTCCCAAGGTAGGCGACTGAATGGCCAGGAGAGAGGCAGGCAGACCAGTTGGGAGGCTGCTGCCGCGTCAGCAACCAGGCCTGGGCTAGGGCTGTCCTGGCATAAGAAGGAGCATGGGCATTATTAGCAGGACTATGGAAGGAACGTGTGTCTGACAGGGCTCGAGCCTCCTTCTGTGTGAAGCTAATTGGACCCCATGGGCCTTAAATCCCTGACCTGGGCCTCATTAGCACAAGTTCTCCCCACTAGAGCTAACCAGTGTGGGTGCTGATCTTAAAAGGTTGCTATTTTTGCTGCTAGAGACTAAAAGAATTATTTAGTCTGTAAGTAATCACACACAGAAATAGGGGAAACTTTGCAATGTCTTTTCTACCTTTGTTTTTTAGTAAAACATGAGTAGTTTGAGAAAATGTCATGCTGTTCACATTTTTCTCTCTCTCATTTTGTATTAAATGGTCTGGCCTTTGGGCAAAGGGGTATGAGATTAATATTCTTAGAGGGGATCAATTTCAGAATAATTCCATGAAATAATAGATATCCTTTATTCACATATTAACTGAGCCTATTTAGATCTAAATGTGGAAAAACTCGAAAACATCCAAATAGACTTCTTTAAATGCTAACTTTTAGTTCAGACATTTGCCATCCTATGGACAATGCTGTTAGGTCTATAAAACACACAGTAAAGCAATTATTCCATTCATTTGAATCATAAAAAGTCAAAACAGAAAATTAGGATTACAAAGTAAATTCATGGCCCAAATACTTGGGCCAAGTCTTTAATTATCAGGCTGACTGCCAAATTTCACTTTATTTTGTTCTTTGACGACATAGCCAATGAGAAGGAATGAGCCATAAGAAGATAGGTTTGGGATGGGATAGAGGATTAGTTTTTGAAAGTAAGCATTTAGTCACTGGATTTTTGACTGGGTGTTTCTGGCTTAATTTGCATCTTTTCATATTCTGAATGTACTTGTTTGATCAAATTTTAATTTGCTTTAAAAGAACACATGCATCAAAGTTAAATATGAAAGTGCCTGGAGTTTTTTAAAACAATATTTTAAAATAATCAAATCATATCTTGATTTAAATTCACCTGTCACCTTGATAGCATGAAGCATTTGGGAGTATACAGAGCAGGTGAGAACTGCCCATTGATCTTGCAGCCTGAGCAATGCCCAGCTGCATATGCATGTGGAGGAAGGGCAGGGAGCAGGTGCATGGGGTCATGGTGACTGTGTTATCACCCGGAATTTAGCCATCTAGGAAGAGAAGTATCAAAAGCATGTGATAATATTACTTCCAGTTTGAGTGGGGAAGTGTTCAGGTTATAAATGAGTCTCACAGGACAACAAGTTTTAAAAAGTGGTGAGTATCACAAGATAAGAATGAATAACCATAAGAGTAAGAGGAGCTGTTCACTGACTCACTAAACCACATGGTGTGAAAGGTAGAGGCAAAATGGTGCTGTGCCAGTCAATGAATCAAGGGCTGCTTTCCCCTGGGAAAATGAGACAGCAATGCCAGCTGCATCCATACTAAATAGATTTGCATCGAGTGGTACCTAAGAGCATAGACTTTAGTGCAAGGCTACCTGAGTTCAAATCTTGGCTCTACCACTTAACTAATTTTGTCACTTAGGGCAATTTACTTGCATGTATCTCAATTTCTCCATCTGTAAATTGGGGGTGGTTATAGTCACTACCTCACAGAACTGCTATATGGTTTAAGTTAGCTAATATTTGTGAAGCACTTAGAACAGTACATACAGTGCTCCAGAGGTGTTCATTAAATACAAAAAATAAATAAATTACCCTGAACCAAGCAGAAGACAGGGAACTACAGGTGACACCCACTAACACTTTCTTGACCAACTGGTGCCTACGCAGCGGTACTTGCTCCATTACTGTGTATATTTAGAAACATGTGCCTCAGTAATGGCCCTCATCACATCACATCTCCCAGTGTCCATGCCCCTGTGTAGTTCCTTTCTGTGTTGACTCAGGGCTTGGCCAAGGGACCTGGGTGGCCAATGGGACATCAGGAAAGATGATGCAAGCAAGGGCTTCAGAAGTGCTTATGCACTGGAGCGTTCCCTCCTGAAGTGCTCTTCTGAAATCACCAAAGCTAAAGAAGTCCAGGATGAAAGACCACATGGAGAAAGAGGGACAGCTGACCCATCAGCTCCATGCAGCTGCACAAGTGAGCCCACATGAGACCAGCAGAGGAACTTCTTAGCCAACCCACAGAATTACGAGAAATAATAAACTGTTATTCTTTCAGGCCTCTAAGTTTTGGGGCAGTTTAGTATGCTGCAAAGGTGAACTAAAAGCTATCTTTATCATAGTAAATAAACCAAACCTTGAAGCTTTTAAAAAAGCAATCTAATATAGAGCTGCCAAGTCTGATTCTTCAATGTTGGTCACATGGAGGTGCATGACAGCAAGAAGCAGGGTGTTCTGCAGGATTGCCCCACGTGCAGAGGTGGGGGTTCTCCATCCCCCATCCCCTACCCCCTTATCTCCGACTTTCATTGTAGGTAAATAATTATTAACTCCAAGATTACTTCCTCCCCTCCTCTGTCAGTAGAAAAATGTTAGCCATCTCTCACAAAGTTGGCATTCTTTGGACAAAGTATAATGTTTAAATGGTTTCAAGGGAAAAATCTCGTATTTTATAAGCTACTCATCATCAAATACCAATTATCTTAGGCCCAGTATCATTAAAATAGCGCTTCAGAGGAAATAAAAAGTGGCTATTTGACTATATAATGGTAGTTCTCTGTTTTTCTTTTTGGTTGACAGAAGGAAACATACTTAAAACTTGAAATAATGTTTGATCTAAAGCCACTGAAATTCTAAGAAACTGATCCAATGTGCAGAGCCCCAAGGGCAAGGTTCAAAGGCACAAGAAGCACCAATAATTGGGGACTTATAGCTGCTGAAGAGGGGGATAGATAAGGTTCAGGCTGGCAGTCCTGAGCTCACATTCCTCAGTGGCTGGGTCACAGTGGCTCTAGTCTTCCTCAGTGCTGCTTAGCAACACCAGCTCAGCGTGAATCTGACAAGTCACTGGGAAAAATGGCTTTTTCAGAGCCTCTTGCTATTGGTAATTTCATTCAGAATGGGCTAGCATCTCTGCCCTAAGGGCTTTCACTCTTACTGTAGCTCTTACTATATATAGTTCCATCTTATTTATGGACTGATCCCTTCCGAAGGCTTTTCATGTACAGAGGAAAGCTAAAGCTTTCTGATCAAAAGCATTCCATATTTTAAAGATATGTACATGTAATCATAAGCTTCATTTCTAGTCTTTCTCTCTCTTACTAGCAAAAGGAAGGTTCTTCCCTTATTATGAACACAATGAAGAAGAAAACCGCCTTCCCAAGCTCATCCTTTTTATAGCCTCAGCAGAGGCCATTTGCTATTTCAGTTGATCCTAAAAAAGGATGTATTCATCATGAAAAATCTGAGGGAAGATTGATGAATTATAGCCACAAACAGCATCTGTTACCACATAAAATCTGCCCAGATACTGTAAAGATATTGTTTACTTTCCAGCTTCTCCCAGACCTTCACACCAACCAGTGGAGGTAGATGCAATTTCCTGACTGTAGGAATATGCATTGTTGATGGAAAATTCTGGAAGAAGAACACAGAACAAGAGTGGAAACATAACTGTATTTCAGTGACCTTCCATAATGCCAGGTGATTCCCTCATAGGAGGTAGTCTTTCTGTAATTGCCAAGCTAGGGAAGCTCTGAAGTTGGTCACTATTTCTTTGGTAATGACTTTGTAATGTCTCAGTGGTTCCCGGGGCATGTTTCTTGATCTGATGCTAAAAATCACCTCAACTCAGGCCATTTTGTTCTGCTGACTCTATTAAATGGTCTCTGAAATAGTGTTCTGGGGTATTGCAACCAGATTTATGTTTGTCATTTTACTCCCAGATTTTAAAAACTACCAGTAAAGGTACACCTGATTGGCTTCTGAATTGCTTCATACATTCATTCATTTATTCACTCATTCATTCAGGAGCTCCCACTGAATACTGACTTCTGTAAAAAGCTACTGAAGAAATACAGGGCATGTGTTCCAGCCCATCAGAGCTTGCAGTCCAGATGGCAAGTCAACATGCCTCTGAAGTGAAAAAAGAACACAAGACATTTTTAGGAAAGCAATAATGACAGTGGTGGTAGGGCCTTTTTCTTTACCTTAACCAGTTTCCTTCCCTTACCTTGCTCGGATGGGTTGAGATCCTAGTCTGGGTCCCAGAGCACTACCATTCCCAGGAGAATTCTTTCTGGCTAACGCTGGAGATATAGAAGTTGTTCTTTGAGGCACCTGGAAGAAATCAGAATTCAGGAATATTTTCGATCAGACAGCTTCCATAGGCTACTGTCAGAAAATCCTTCTCCTTTACAAAGATTTGCCAGAAGTTACAGAAACTATCGGAAACAGGAAAGAACTATCTTTCATTTCTCAAAGCAATATTAAACTCCCCCCAAAAAATCAAACAAGAGTCCACTGGCAAACGGTAATGAGACAAAGTCAGCCACCACTAAGAAGGGTCATCCTCAATCTTAACAACAAATTTAAAGATAGACTAAGCTAGTAAGTTTGATTCACTGGGCTAAAAATAATTGACCTCTCTTGGTTGGGCAAAATTGATGAATACCAGAAATGTCTTCAGGATACCATAAACTCACTGGAAACTGCATTAGATGAGAGCCACACACACAAACCAGGTTCCATTTTTACCTCATAGTACAACTAAGCAGATAAGGAAATTATGAAATCTGGTGAGAAACTAGGATATCAGAATAGAACTTGGGACATAAGTCATATGTCAGTGAGCTCAGCGAACCTACTGCAATAGATCCGGAATGTTTCTACTTCCTAGTCAACTTGCAATTACTAACTAAAACCAAAAACCAAAAGCACTGTGCTTCGGTCAATTAGCAAACATAATACAAAACAGGATTAATACTGAAAATACTGAAAGGGTCTTCAAAAACATTGTGTAAGTACCAATAAGACTACGAGGTACAGCAGGAAAATGTATTATGAGCTTATCTAGCAAAAGCCTCAGGAAGAATTCCAGTATGCCTCATTTTATGAAACATATGAACATTTTAAAAATGAAATCAAATATTGCAAGTGTACCAAAGGAGTTCATTATTTAAGAGAATCATATTATGAATCCTAGTTCTGAAAATTACTTTCAATGTAAAATGTCATCCTTTGTCTGTCTTAAAAAATTAATTTTTATTATAATTCATTTTAATATAAAGAGGAGCCAGTGAAGTGAAGCAGAAAGGCCAAATCAGTGCTACCATCTGTTCAAATTAAATATTGCTGTTACTATTTTTCCTTTATGTAAATGTAAATAGTTGTAGAGAAGAAAAAGCCTAACAAATTATTAAAACCTAAGTTTTTGAATTGGTCTAAAGTTTCCTCCCAGCTTTATACATGTATGTATGCCTACGTATTTTTAGAGTGGACCAATAACTTCCTTTTTAGTTTTTCCAGCTATTGTGTCTGCTGCTCTACCCACTATATTTTCCATATTGAACTTTGCTCCCTTAGTAACCTTTTCTGATGGCATTTCTGCTTCCACAGAGATGAAACATCAACAAATTATTGGCTGATTTTATTTTGAGACTCTTGTTATAATATCCTTTTGAGAGGAAGATGAGAAAATATATTTGTAAATCACTGAGTAAAAATTTTTATTTTTTCTGGAATTAACAATGGCATTACTTTTTGGAAATTGTGGAATATTTCATTTGTCACAGCTCTTGTGCTGAGTTCAAGATAAAGGGGATTCCTAAACTAGGAAGAATGATGCAAAAGTTTCTCCAGTATTTTGAAATACTTCCAGGTTGTTCTGCAGCCAGATGCACAACCACATTCCAGAACATTTCTTATAATGAGTAAGGACTTGATACAGGAAAACAAAAGAGCCCAACTTAGGGCTGCTCTTGTCCAGTGGGATCGCTGGGCATTTTACCCTAAAGTTTTATCTTCAGTAATAAATTAAGGCTGAAATTAAATTAGACTTGGCCTAGAAAGAGCTTTATTTAAATGAGGCCAACTAAATTATCCTAAGAGCAATACTATTTTCTGAAACCCTGAAATCTGGTTACACTTTGTGTTGTTAAAAATAGGAATAAATAAATTTTCTACTTTTTATCTGCAAGTTTTCAATTTGTCTAGATGTAGATTCAGTCATCAATGAAAATATCCATTATTCTATTTCTTAACATGGATAATAAAATAACAGTTTGGAAAGTGCCGGTTTGAGAATTCTAATTCTGGATACAGGATATATGCTTTCTAGACGTACAATCCACCTGCGCCTCAGTTTCTTTGGGGGGAAGTGAAGGTCAGTAATGATAAATGATAATCTAAGTCTTAGCTTGGGAATGAGGAGGGACCAGAGCAAACGTGAGAAGAGAAGATGCTTTGCCATTATTGCGTTCTTCATTCCTAAGAAAGGTCTGGGCTAATGGTAATAATAAAAATCAACAATGACAGTGGTGATGAAAACACCCCAGTAATATCACCTTTGGTGGAATGTCTTCTTCCTGCCGTAACCAAGAGCTTCGGTCAAACTTTTCGATACGCGTAGGGAGCGGAGGGTTTTCAGAGGTGGGATCTGAGTTCTGGCGCGGCATCTCCACGCGGTGAGAGGTCACGCTCAGCGCCTCCTGAAACCCGGAGAGGCCCTTCGTGGGCTGCTCGTGCACTGACTGGGAGGCGGTCAAGGCGGGGCCCTGGGATTTCACAGCCACCAGATGTGGGATCTAAGCATCAAAACAGCATTAGAGCAGCATTAGTGGAAGAAAAAGCAGAGGAGCAGATCAGTTAGGACCTCAATCGGTTGAAGGGCAAAAAAAAAAAGTTCTAGGGCACAAAAACTGGACAACAGAGAGTCCATCACAGCTATCTGTAGTGTATCTTTAGCAGCTCTTTAAAATCTTCCATTTAGAGAGATGCCTAGGGCTTAACCAGGGTTCCTGGCAAAAAGTTAGATGACTTCCTTGAGAATGCTAAGTCCATGGAACAAATAATAATAATAATAATAATACTAACTACTGCATAGTTAGTGAACAATTACTGACCAGCAATACAATCAATGTATTTTATGACCAGTTCTCTTCTAATATTACAAACGTACTCCTTTAAACTCCCCCCACCCCAAACTTTTGACTTTAGAGAGTGCTGCCGCTCTGTAAAGTAAGAACTGCTCTGAGTATCTTACCTGTTATTTACTCACTGAGTCCACTCTGAGGTGGACACAATCATTTATTTCCCCCATTTTACACATGAGCAAAAGAAGGTACAGCAGGGTTAAGCAACACCCTGGATTTCACAGCTAACACATGCTGAGACTGGATCGGAACTCAGGCAGTCTACACTCACAGCACAAATGCCTAACCTCTGCAATATCCTGCTTTCTGCAGTGTGGCCTCTGACCCCCTGTGGTATCACGTATCTCTCGACACCGGGACATTTCTTTTGGAGTTGTAAGTCTCACAACTAGGCATGTGGTGATATTTTTTATGCAGGGAAGACAGACAGTCTTTCAGTGAAACTGTGGCTCTTTGAGACAAATCATTAAAATCCAGAGCACAGGGTACCCCCTTGGCCACAGCCTTGCTCACACTTTCCTGTTGGCGACTGTCTAACCTGCCTTCTCTGACTTCAGGAAGGTGAACTCCCTGGAGACAGTAGCTATGTCTGTCACGCTCACATCATGTCCCCGACTCTAACTCTGCCTGCATGTGGGAGGTGTTCAATACATTTTGGCTGGGGAAAAATCTAGAGTGGTTTCTATTTAAATTGTTAATTCAACAAATATTAATTTAGTATTTGCTTTGTGCAAGGACCTGTTAAACCCTCTTGGGTCTGAAATTCAGTGTTGGAATATTATTAATGACAATCAGAGAAAATCCTCAAACCCCAGTTTAGCTGAAGGTTATGCTTCAACCAGAAAAGAATCCATTAAATTTACATTACTGCTAAATATCATTAAATATATTAAATAGTGATATTAAAACAAAGCACATTTAAATGGAACTGGAGGTCATTACCTTAAGTGAAACAAGCCAGACACAGAAAGTAAAATATGGCACATTCTTATTCACAGGTAGGTGCTAAAAAATGCATACACATGGATGTAGATAGCAGAATGACAGACAGTGGAGACTCAGAAGGGTGAGGGTGTGAGGCAGGTGGATGATGAGAAATTACTTAATGGGTACAATGTACATTATTTGGGTGATGGATGCCCTACAGCCTGACTTGGCCACTACGAAATCTAAGCATGCAATAAAATTGCACTTGTATTCCATAAATTTATACAAATAAAAGTTTTGAAAATAAAAAATATCAAGTACAAAACACAAACTTACTTTAAAAGAGTCAAAAAATAAAACAAAAACAAAAATTGAAGCACCGGAAACAGGCTTAACCCAATTAACTGTCACAGAATAGCTACATTTTCATTCCCTAGCCATTTCCATAAAGTAAATTTCTCTCTGTTCTCTCCTTTTACAAGTGAAAGTACCCTCCAAGGTCAAAGTCAGGAGTTTTAAAAGAGGATGTTTGTACATTAAAAGAGAACTTCCTGTAAAAAAAATGTATCCTTTTGAGGGTTAGGCATGAAAGAATTATATACAAATTAAAACCAACCAAGGGGAAGATAGGCTAAGCTGGCTGGTGCTGAAAATTCTTGGGCTTCATTTATTAAAGGCAAGCTCAAAACACAAAGAATATTTGATTTTTATCACTACTCTTTTAAACTTCAGTTCAAACAGTTACATGTTTCAAAAGTGGCCTCAAAATATTTTGTGGAAGTTTTAACACAGGTGGATACCTGGAAGAAATTTAAGACACTTGGGTTAAAAAAGCCTCATTACCTTTATTTTTCATGGAATTCCATGATCCATTTCATTTTATATTTTATTTTTAGTACATATAATTTTAAAGTTCTGTAGAACTTCCAGAATCTTCCTCCTTTCCTAAAAGTGGAGTAATCCTTTTTCTTTACCAAATAGCTTACAACAGTGGTTCTCAAACTCTAAAGTACATCAGAGTCACAGCCTGCCAGGCCCCAGCCCAGGGTTGCTGATCGGTGGGGCTGAGTGGGCCCAAGAACTGGCATTTCTACCAAGTTCCTGGGTGATGCTCGATGCTTTTGATTCAGCCACATTTTGAGAACTACTGGCTTAGAAGACATAGTTTTACTTAAGCAAGTACAGTTAATTTTTCCAGTTTCGGGCTCATGTCAAAATCCCAAGGGACAAAAGATTACATGTATTGTATACATAGATACATGATATATATACACACACAACATATATACCTCAAAGGTCTGTATGAATTCTAGTTTTGGGAATTATAACTAAGAGGATGCTTGCTCTCACCTTGAAGAAACCCCTTTTGATCTCCAGAGAGGCCAATTTACCAAGAAGTGATTTGGTTTTACTCTACCCATCAAATTCCATATTACTATGGGGCCCTCCATATTACTATGAATCATATATAAAGAATCATAATTTGATGGTCCTATGCCTAAACACAGGTTTTACTGTACACCCTGTGGGAATAGCTAATGGAAAGGGGGACGGAATATACCTGGGGATCAACTGGTCGGAGCATAGGGGGCGTCCGAGCAGGCTGAACTCCACTAATGCTGAAAGACTCCGACCTTGGGGGCAGGTTGGGGTCAGATATCCTGTTGGCAACCTTGTGAGGCATGGCAGGCGAACTCTGCCGGTTGAGCCTTGACCGTTCTTCTACCTAGAAGCCAAAAGCAAAAGACAGCCTCAGTGGATAGAAGTCAATTCATCTCCTGGTAAGGATCTTCTGTAGTCACCTGCACAGCCATTTGAACTCTCTTAGCAATTCATTTTAAGAAGCCAAAATTCTCTATTTCTGCTCTGTATCAAGAATTTGCAAAGAACTTTTTTTTTTTTTGAGACAGAGTCTCACTCTGTTGCACTAAGTAGAGTGCAGTGACCTCAGCCTAGCTCAAAGCAACCTCAAACTCCTGGGCTCAAGCGATCCTCCTGCCTCAGCCTCCCGAGCAGCTGGGAGTACAGGTGCGCACCACCACGCCCAGCTAATTTTTCTATTTTTAGTAGAGACAGGATCTCACGCTTGCTCAGGCTGATCTTGAATTCCTGAGTGCAAGAGATCCTCCCACCTTGGCCTCCCAGAGTGCTGGGATTATAGGCGTGAGCCACCGAGCCCAGCCAAAAGAACTCTTTTCTATCATAGCAAACACTAGCAGCAGCAACAACAAAAAACCCCAAGAACACCTAAGCCATCTTTCTTCCACTATCCATAATCTTGTGTTAATTCAGTTAGCTGGAAGTTTGGGACCTGCTTGAGAGTTTATCTTGCATTGATTGGGATGTTATCTTGCTGCAAGGCAGACAGTTTGCACCCTAGACAATCCAAGGGAACAGTAGTATGTATTAAGAGGGCTTGGGGGAAATGGAAACTTGCTTTGGCTGACTCACAGGACAGGCAGGGGAAGAACAAGAGGATGGAGCTGAGTGCACACACCCTCCACTTCTTCACACGTCTTACTGATAGACAAGTGGGTGTTCCAGGCTGCCTGCTTCATAAGCATGGCCTGTCTTAAATAGACTTCCTGTATCATTTTCTTTTTCTCTCTTCAGGGGTCTTTCTTTCCAGTTGTCTTTCCCTGCTCCCTAAATACACTGCTCCTGCTCATTCCTTCCATGCCAGCTTGGACTCCACTGCCTCGCTCTCCCCTTTCTTCCTCCCTGTGTCCCCACATGTGGTGTTCATTCTGCCTTCCCTTCTCACCTTTCTTCTCCCCCTCCAGCCATTTCATTTCCTCGGCATTGCCTTTCTTCCAGAGTCTCTCTCAGCCCAAAAGCAGGTAACTGATCCCAAGTGCTTCACAGGGAAGGTTCACAGGACCAGTGAATGGCTTTTTTAACAGGCAAAAATTACCCTTAATACATATTTACAGCACACAGACTGTCTCAGGGAATAATTTTAAGGGGAAATTTAGATAAACAAGGTGTATACTGCAAGAGATGACTTAGGATCTTAGACAACTTTAAGAGGTTTAGGACTTTTTCTCTAGGTCCATTGCATGCTGTCCTTTATTTCTTCAGGGTCAATTTGACCCTTGTGCTTCCCAAACCCACTAGGACAATGCAACCATTTTCACCACCCTGATGACCTTTAGAGTAAGCCCTTAATCCTCTTCTGTTCACACACTGAGCATTGTAAGAGCCTACAAGTAGGTATTCAGTATTCATGTCTGTCTGCATATTTTTTAGCAGCTAAAAGTCTTTATTCGTTTTACTGCCTGATTTGAAATAAAAATTTAGAAGAGCTATTTTTTTCCCCATCCTCCCTACTCCATTTTGACTCTTACTAGAGGCAGACTCAGTCTAATACACAGAATAAAACTGTTTTTAAAATTCACATTAACCTCAAATAGAAAACATTCCTCCTGCTTCTACTAAGGTATAATTTGAACATCTCTTCCCCAACCATGGCTGTGCAGGGTACATACAAGTGGCATCCAGTTGACTTTGGTTTTGAAATTCCGTGTCCCAGAAGCTCACCACATACCAAGTAAGATTTGCTGCAAAAAGCCAGGAATGTAAAACAGAATAGGTATACTTTGTATGTGCATGTGTGCAAAGTATTACATCAGCAATAATTATTTGGCTGTTGCATTGAGCAAAAGGACAAAGCCAGCTTTGAGATAAGACCACAAAGAAGAAAAACTCCCGTAAAGATAGCAATAGATAAACTGAGACCAATGCATGCAATGTATTCCTTTTACAAATGCCAGACTCTTTGAAAAGAAGGTTAATATTTTTAGACCACTAGAATTGGTTAAATATTATCCATTTCCTTATTTTCAGGGAAGATCGCTAATAGACCAATCACATGTACAAGCACCCTTCTATATCCAAACTCCCACTAAATAAACCATTGGTCTCTGAGCTCAGGAAGCTAAGAATTCAGACATGTCTTCAGATAAATATTGGCTATCCAAACTCTAGCCAAATGTCCCCAAATTCAGCAACCAAATATATTTAGAGTGTGAAGTATACTTGTTATTATTATTTTTTTTTAACTGTAAAATATACTCAATTTTAAATACACATTAAGAGAAAGCACATTAAAAACAACAGTGGAAAAGTCTGTCCTTAAAGACTCTATCTGGAGCAAAGAAACCATTATTGAGATAAAGAATTGTTTTGGTAACTGTCAGCAACAAAGCTCCAGTCTAAGAATCCCTGCTGCCAATAGGACCACAGGCCATAGGAGGCCCTAATGCGGTCATTAGAAATGAATAGGGCAGAAAGTAGGGTAGTGATATTCATAGGCAATTAATGGGTTTGATTAGTCATGTATACATGTTACTAATGTACTTCTAGTAGAATTTCCTATGCTTTCTATCAGTTAGTTTACATACTAAATCCTACCATTGTATGTTTCAGTCTGTACCATTCTAAACTATATGGCATAAATGACTTTGCAAATTATTTCAGGAAGGGTCCAATGTGTTAAAATTTCTTGGGCTGGAGTTTGTCCAAAGAAATCTGAAAATCTATGAGAAGGGTGTAACAATGAGGCGTCTGGCTACCCACTTTTTTTTTCAAGAAAACCTTGTCCTAAAGCTACTTTAGGACAACAATGCTGCCCAAGTGCCTTTGCACCAAAGGATCATGTTAAGAACTGGAGCAAAGATATCAAAGCAAACTTTGGAAGTGGTGCTTCTCCTAATAACAGCTTCAGATGGACAGAAGGAAATCTAGAGAGTATATCTAGGAGTGGGCCCTTATGATTATTTTGATACCAGGCAAAGGCCTGTCCTCTGACTTATCACAAATTACGTTCACTCACTGAGCAGGAGTGAGACAAAAGAAGAAGTGGCTCCCCCCTTCCCACCCCAGAGTAAGGATGTATGTGATTAAAAACTGGTGCACCATCAAGACATGCTTCCATCTGCCTGAGGATATTAAAAAAGTCTAGTAGCCAAGCCTCTCCTCTAACCTCCTGCCGCCAAGAAGACATGAAATGCCAGAAGCACACTGAAAAAGGGTGTTCTAGTAACATCAGATACAGATTGTTAAGGTGCTACACCCAAACAACAATGATACCAGCTATAAAGGATTTTTTAGATGAAGGGATTATCAGTGAATACAGAGACCAAGATGAGCAGACTGATCAATTTTGCCATAAAAGCAATGTTTTCATATTAATAGGATCATTTCAACATGAAAACTAAAATAACTTTGGAGAGGTATGCATCATCTCTGCAGAAATGCTATAGTATTTACTACAGCATTATAGAGAGAAAGAAAAAATGACGGTGGTCTCAGAAATAAAATTGCACTGCAGTCAGGGCTGTGCCATCCATTGGGAACTAAAAGAGTGACGTTTAAGGCCTCTGAGCTGTATAAAGGCTGCACAAATATAGAAGACCTAAAAATACATTTGTTAATTATGAGCTTTAAAAAAATTTTCAAAATAAATAAAAATATATTTAAATATATGTAAAGGGAAATACTACTGTCAACGTCAATTAAATTGTTTTTTATAATTGAAAACAATTTGTAAGTTATAATGTCTTACTTTACAATAATGAATGACATCCACTGTGAAGGAATTTCAAAACAAAATTATACAAGTAATTTCAAAAATGTTGACAGCAAATATATATTTACCATGTTATATGGGTGCATTTTAACAACATTTTATATTATGTGGGGTCCCTAGGGTCTATGAAGGTCTTAGTAGGCCTTACATAAGAGCTAATATGTGGTGAATCAAATGCAATTGTATGGGAATTCTCTTTTTTTCCCCAACTGAACAAAATAATTTGATTTTTGTGTTTACTGGCAATACTGGAGAAAGAGAAAGAAGTCAATAAATAACTTCAAAAGTGCTCATTAGATACTTTGACCCTGCACTCACTGCTGACATAAAGAACTGAGTCATACTGTTCTTTGGCAAAACCAGCATGAGCAGATATTAATAATTACCGAGCAAGTCTGAGGACGCCCCTTCTCTGGGACCCATCTGAGCACAGGGGAAACTCTTATTCATAAGGAATGCTTAAAATGTGATCTTGTCTAAAGCTAAGGGCCTGAACTATTTTCCAGGGTCCACTTCTAACCAATATTCCAGAAAAATGAATAGATCCCACGTGAATGGGGCACATAACTTCCAAGTAATGAAGAGAATCCTTAACAAGCTGAGACGGGAAATAAAGAAGTGCTTATCTATCACCTGGGAGACCTGGGTGAGTAGACAGGAGATGTGAGTGAACTGGTCATGGGAAATCAAACCAGAAACAACAGAGTCAAGACACTTATTCCTTGTGAGCTACAATGGCTTTGGGAACAAAAGAGGAATATGTTGAGTAAATACATTTTGCATTTGTACAGTGCCTAATGTTTAAACGGCACAAGCACATACATTATTGCCCACGATCCTCCCAACTGCGAGGCAGGAAGTGCAAATGAGGAAGCTGTATCTCAGGAAGGTGAAGAGACTTGCCCCAGGCCACAGCCAGGAAGCAGAAGAACATGCACTCAAACATACTCCTCACTATTTTCATCCAGTTCTCTCTTCTGTTAAATCTTAAGAGAGATGACCATAAACTGGGAAAAGATGAGACCAGAGCTATAAATTCTCTAAATGGTAATTTGGGAACCTCATATATAAGCTATATACAATTTCTACATACAGTATACTGGTAGAATAAGAGATAACTTGGTCCTTATCAGATCATTGTTTGCCAAATAAAACAGGAGTTCAAGATCAATCTGGGCAAGATGGCGGGACTATGTCTCTACAAAAAATAATTAAAAAAATTGGTTGGGCATGGTGATATGTGCCTATAGTCCCAGCTACTTGGGAGGCTGAGGCAGGAGTATGGCTTGAGCCCAGGAGTTTGAGGTTGCAATGAGCTATAATCAGGCCATAGCACTCCAGCCTGGGGTGACAGAATGAGACCCTTTAAAACAAAAATTAAAATATAATCTCATGCAATACCCATGTAGACAAAGCCTTCTGTCATTGCTGAGCCTTGGTGCAAATTTTTTTTAAAAATGTATGTGGGATAAAAAGGGGAGGGGAACACACACAGTTACTGCCAGGCTCAGACAATCCTATGTCATTATAGGGAATAGGAGAAAGAAAAGGGACTCTCCATCATCCAAAAAGTGACAGAAAAGACTTTCAAATTCTGCTAATGTTCAACAGAACATCACACTGATATTTTCACAGAACAAATCTGGCTTCCATTCCAATCCAGAAATGGCCAACAATTTCAAAGGGGTGAGAAGGCTCCCCACCCATCCTTTAAATGCAGAGACATTAATGTTCCTTTCTGGCTGAAATCTGAAAATCAAAGCCAACGTGACATTCAGAACAGAAAGAATACTCAGTAAAAAGAAAAAGAGAGAAGCTCAACAAGATTTGTAAATGACTGAGCATTTCCATATGTTCTTACTGCATCCAACGGATTAATGAGAAAGGTAATGAGAAATGCAATGATCACTCATGTTTTATAAAATGAAAAAATAAAAACACAGAGGATGAAGCATTATGACAGCATTACATTGCTGATGAAAGAGTGTTTAATTGGAATAACGGAAGAGAAATAGATGGAAAAGGAATCAAAGAAGGAAAAAAACATCTTGATGAGAAGCTACAGAGCTGAGGTAGAAAATAAATGCTGGCTCAGATTACAGGAGAAGTTGCAATGGGTAGAAGATAGGTGGGTAGTATCTTCAATACCATAAGGGGTAAAAAAGTGCAGACCTTATATTCCAGGAGATAGTGGCATGAGCATAGCTTCTCACTCATCAAGGATGAGGATATTTTCAAATTTATATCCTGGTAAAGGATGCATTTGAAAAAGAAAATGGTACTTCTTAATTCTACCTCTAGAGAGTTTAATCCAGGTTTTCTTATCAGTTGACAGTTAAAATACTGATGAGGTATAAATTTTGTTTATACCTGAAGTCTTGAAATGCCTATTACTGTTTGGTTCCTTTGAGCCCCACCTGCCTCTCTGATGTAAGAAAAGAGATTTGTAAATAATGTTTTAGAAAAAGAGTTCATACATTGCTGATGAGAAGCATTAAAAGATCAAGTAGATGAAGATCATCACACTCATTTTTATACCCATTTTTAAGAAGTGGGTGTTAAAAATGATGAATCAAACTAAGGCAGGCAATTATTTGTTCTTAGTTGTACATCAGGTGCTCCAATCCCAAATTGGAGCAACTGTCACTCTCCTTCTAGCATATAAATAAATGTTTCATATTTCTTCCAAAATATGATCACTCACTCTAAGGCTTGAGAACTGTTTCATGAATAAATGGATGGTTAGTTGGAAGCTGGATTATGTTAATCACACCCAGGAGGGAAGGACTAGATATGAAATCCCCAAAGAATGTTCCCACATATCTCTGGAAGTGCATCAAGCCCAAAGGAAGAGCGCCAGCTGCTAGGAAGCCAGGGACCTCGGAAGACGTCACCCACCAGAGGTGGCCCAGACTTATGGTGGCCAGGGCACCTCACATCAGGAGTGCCTGGTGACACAGCCATGTTGTTTGCACGCCCAACTGCTGTGTTTCTTTTCCTGCCAGGAGCCTGCCCAGGAAGCACAGATGAACTAGGAGGTCCAGAAAACTGCCTTGATGACATCTCCAAAGATTTGCCCCTGGGAATGCCATGGCTTCTGAAAGCTTGGGAACTGTGAACTATCTCTGAATGGAGAGGATAGTCCGGTAAATTTAGTGATGAGGACAAATAGCGTCTAGAAAACAATGAAGTCAAAGTGGACAAGTTCAAATCAGAATGTGCTGGGTAGAGGTTGAAGGAAGGAAATGGAAACTGCTCTACGCTTTTCTTCCTTTTCTGGTACATTTGTGCATGAAAGAGCTGCCTAGGGCAAAGAAGAAATTCTGGGATGCTTTGCAAGAAACCATGGTCCTCTTTAATGGGATCTGTAGGCGTTTCTCTTCTAAACTCATGCTTGGTGCTGGGAACACTGACTTCTGGGTGGTCATGCATCAGGGAGAGGTCACTTAGCGACGCAGCATTTCTTAGAAGAGTCGAGGTGCTCGTAAAGATGTATGAGTTCATGCCCCTTCTGCCCCAAGGTCCACATGGGTCTCTAAGGCCTTCCTTAATTTCAGTAATGGACAACTGGGGGCTTGTCACTTTGGAGATGTTGGGAGAGGACACACAAATGACCTTAGATCCTAACTCTTGAGTTGGGCTACATCCTTGCGAGCGAGATCTCTTTGGAGATCTCGCTATGGTCCATGAGGCTTCCTGAGGCTTTAGTTTTTCTTCCAAACCAAGTCTAATAGGGGAAGCTGGTCCGTCTTTCTTCCGTGAGTGATGCTCAAACAGGAGTCTTGATCGGGAATCATTAATTCCTGCAGGAGCTACTGGTATTAGCTTTGTAGAGGTTAGTTTCTCAGCTTTCTCCACACCTGCCATGGTCAGGAGCTGTGAATCTGGCATAGCTGAAGATTTCAACCTGGCATGGCTAGAAAATGGCTTAGCAGTGGAAGGAGGTGGCACTTCTCTGCTAGCCAGGAGGCATGTCAGCTGCTGTTTAACAACATAGTCACTCTGCTTAGCTGGAAGAACAGGTGGATTATTAAGGGGTCGTTGCTGTACCTGAGAGCAGGATCACAAAATTGAATTATTGATCTAAGAGAAAGATGCAGCTGTTATAGACATAAGTAAATATAGATTATGTTTACAGATGTAAGGGGAAGTGACCAAAAATGTTCTTCATCTCAAATCAAAATGATTTTCTCTACAGACTTAGTTTTGTACATTTTAAAAGAAAAGTTATTTTCATTAAAATAGTATACAATTACTACAAAGAATTTAAACAATCTACAGAAATATTAAAAAGTTTAAAGGAAAAAAATCAATATTTTGATTTCTACCTCCCATTAACCACCACCATTAACATTAGGACATCATTTCAAGAATTTTCTGTACATATCAGGTAAGAGAGAAAAATAAAAAGACAGAACTACTTTTATAAAAATAGGATCTTATGTAAGAAATCTGGTCCTGGAAATACTGTAGTCTAGATAACTTGAAAAAAAGCTCTAGCTATAAATATCTAGAGACGCTAGATAAAAATACCAAATAACCCAAAACATCTTAAATGTCTAGCTATGCTCATGAGAAAATAAAGAAAATCACCAGGTGCCACAAATAATGACAGAACTGGCCACCAGGGTGTTACGCACATGAGCTGACACAGTGACCCCCTGGACGGGTTGCTGATATGGCTGGAGTTTGTATTTTGTTTGTTTGCTTTACCCATTTGGTTATTACCCTTTTTTCCTCCCACCCAAACAGCTTTTAATTATATTGTTAAATAGCTCATCATAGAGCCAAATTCCTGGAAATCCTTCCTTAGTCAGCAGTTAAACAAATGACAAACCATTACTCTGGAAGTATTCGAAAAAGAAACACAAATGACTTTTGGTCCTAAAAGTGTGTATCACAACCACAAGTCTGAGGTCAACCATGTGTCTGCTAGAATCACAGCAAACATTGTTAGTGACAATGTCAATGACCAGTCAACACGGCCCAGGTATGGACCAGAAATGAGTCTACCTAGAATTTCATTAAGTCCTAAATCACATTCTTCAAACAACAACAAAAAGGTCACTAAAAATCCTCATGCCGCAAATTCAACTGGATTGGTATAAGGAAAAGGATTTTTTCTACTGTCTGCTGTTGCCTATAAAAATCCACTGTCTCCACAAAGATATGCCAAAAAACCCCCACAAATGGAGTAAGGTGCCTTGCCATGTCTCTAGAAATAATGTTATGGTTCTTCCAAAAGCAAAGTGTGTATCTTACAATGAATTGTTTTCCAACTCTGCAGCACTAGGTTAGCTCTCCACTTCTACTGGGTGAGTTCATTAGAGCCAAAAGCCTGGCCAATAGGGAGTGGTTGCTCCTGGGTGTACTTACCCAGGGTACCCAGGTAAGTACCCAGGGTATACTTACCTCCTTGGCCCACGCTGGCTTCTCACTAGGACTCATCCCTTCTTTGTAATGGTACAGTGGCTTCTTCTCCACCGGCCTCTGCTCCTGCCGCTGGTGCTGAAGGGAAACTAAGTAGTCTCTCTCTTGCTTTAGCTGTCTCTGAAGTCTCTCTGCTTGTCTCTGTTCTTCCAACTGTTTGCGCTTATATTCCTGTCCAGATCAGGCAAGAGGAACAAAGAAAAGGCCAAATTACCACACAGAAATCACTGGCCAATACCAGTTAAGCATGCAATGAAGGCAAAATGATGCTAAATAACAAAGGACCTTAATACCAGCAGAACTACAGGAGGTTGTCAAATGTGCCACAGAAATAAGCTCTATAGCCTTATGTTAGTATCTACACAAGAATGCATCATTTGATGAGAACACTATTGCTTTAAAATGGCAATTCCTACAGAACACCACCACTTACAAAGTGACTTGTCTGTGATGAATTACAACTGACAAAATGCCAATAATGAGGACATTTAAATGGTCAGCACACAACCCCTGTAAGGAGCCATCTACTTCCTGATCTAGTAATTAAACTATTCAAACGTGTTCAATTAAGTCCAAAACTAAATAAACAGTTAATGATAATGCCTAAATCATCTTTTGTTTAATAAAACTTGGACCAACAAATGCCATCGCCAAGCTTATGTATAGGCGAAAAAATATCAGAATGCCATTAAATACAAGTTCAGTTAAAATAAAATACACCAAGAAGCCCATTTGGAGAGCAGTGCAATAATAATAAAAAGTACTGTACTTCAAGTGGAAGCCGCGTGAGCAGGGAACACAAAATGTTCCCATCATGAGGTTAAAACTAATAGTCTGCAAATGAAATATGACTGCAGAGCTGAGTGGGTTCTTATGGGAGAGGTACATTTTGCTGTGATTGTATTCCAGCGTGTTGCAAATGGCCTTAGAAATCACTCTGCAATAAACACAGTGGGTCTCAAAAGCAGTTTGTACTTATAAAAAGGCTGGATTCATGTTAAAGTTTCACAAATAGATGGAGTTAATAAAGAATGTGCAACAATTGTATTGAATGTATTAAGCCGTGGCAAAATTGATCAGGGAATGTATTAAGTTTCTATGAGATTTTGGATGTCCATGAGGCTTGGGAGCTCCCCTTGCTTGGACTGGCACATTAGGAGGACACACACAGACAGACAGACACATGCAAGTTGAACACGGAGCAGATCAGCTGGCCCTCGGCTTTCCCATTACCAGAAGTAGAGCTTGTTCATGCAGTAGCTGCTGCTGCAAGATCTCTAACTGTCTCTGCTCTTCCTCTAACTGTCGCCTGATGTATTCCTGGAGAGGTAGGCAGCAGAGAATTCAGAGGAACAGAAAGAAAGAGAGAAAAAGAACTGGTAATTTCAAAGGTGACAAGAGCTGCCAAGTAAAGTGTAGAAGGAAGAAGGTGGAAAAATACCCAGATACCTCCTCACAAAACAAGAAGAGTATGCCACACCAAAGCAAAAGCATTTCAATGTAGTCAAAAGCACAAACCCTCTACCTGCAACACCTGACTGAGATGGCTCAGCATTTTACTGTTACTACTCAGTTTTAACAAACCCAGCTACATTTTAAAGCTTTTCATTACAGGTCCCTCTCTTTATGGACTACCTGGAATTAACAATGGTATAAAGTTCACAGGCTCCTGTGCAAGCGGCAGGGATAAAACAATTGTGGAAAGCCATCGTGCACTGTCTTTGTAACAGAACCATCCTGCCGTTTTGCTCTGCTGTCGGAATGTGATTCTAGCAAAGAGAGAGGGGCCTTTGGGTCTTCGTGACCCAAAGTCACGAAGACCAGAGATTGCATGAGTAGGAAAGCCCTTCTGAAGCAATGAAAGAGCAGGGCTTGGCTCGTTTTTCATGCTTCAGTGCTACCTTCCAATCAGACAGCTGGGGCTGGGAGAAATGGAAGAGCCAGGTACACCAGGGAACTCTGGCCAGGGTAGGAAGCAAGGCTGGACAAGTGGGCACTGCCAAGGCTGTGCATTTGACTTCTTGAATAGGTGAGAACAGTTGCCTGAGAAAGAGTAAAAACCCACTTAAACTGAGCAGCCCTAAGAGAAGGTGACCCGCACCCCAGAGACACCTGGCGCTGCAGTTCCCCGGGGCCATCTGCCCGGCTCGCAGTCCCAGCTGTACCTGCTCATGCTCCGCGCGCCTCCTCTCCTCCTCCCGGCGCATCTGCTCCTCGTAGTGCCGGCGCTGCTCCCTCTCCTGCTGCTTCCGCAGCTCCTTCTCTCGCCTTTGTTGCTGTGGGGCAACAAGCAGACAACCATGAGTGCAGCGGGCCTTGGTGGGGGTGTCAGGAAGCCCGCAGGGAGAGCCGCCCAACTGCAGACACAAGCTCTTAACGAGAGATGCCGAAATGCTCCAAGGCTGTTTCTCTCCTGGGCTGTTGGCAGGGGGTGCTGGGGGCACACTGGCAGGGAGAGAGGGGGCGATGGAGAAAGATCCGGTGCCCTGCATAACACCCTGCCATTTGCCACGCAAGGGCACTCTCACCAAGAAGTTCCTGGTAGGTGTGTTCTCCCAATGGCTGGTGAGGGGTTTCAAATCACCGATGCAAAACAGGTTATTTATTACATGTCATCAAGCTGTTCAGGGGATTACTTCACAATGCGTATGTCATTCAATCTTTCTGACACCAGGTAACACAAACATTTCATAGACAGAGCACATAAAAATCAGAGAAGTGAAGTGACACAATGAGAGCCATTCAGTAATTAATGGTTGAGGTGCAACAGGATTTAGTGATGCCCACCCCATCTGCCACCCTTCTTGTATATCATGCCGCCTCTCTATATTTTATGGAATATTCATTTTTGAAGTGTCAATTTAAAGTTTTTGCTCAACAAAGACCCTTATACTCAGGAGCCATACTTGTCATCATCATCATCATCATCATCATCATCACCACATACAATTACCATGTCTCTGACAGTGGGCAGTGGTGATAAGCACCTTACATGCTTTATCTTATTTAATCTTCACAAACATCTCCCAAGGCAGATATCATTATTATCTCCATTTTATATGAGAAAACTGAGGAACAGAGAGATTAAGTAACTTTTTATGGTCTCACTCATGTTTAAGGTCACACCCCGTTAAGTGTGGGAGCTTGATTTCAAAGCTAGGCAACGTGACTGCAGCATCTGAGCTCAATCGTGACAAAGGATGAAGAGGAAACAGGAATGACAGAAAGATCACAAATTATCTAGTTTTTCATTATACTTAGGAAAGCAGAGCATTTTAGGAGAAGTTAGAAGTAGGCCAAGCAGTTACAAGAACCAATGGTAGGGGGACCATTAACCCATCTCTGGGGCATTTGGAACTCTTTGGGGACATGTAAGGATTTATTCTGGTTGTCTCAACGACTGGGGTACATGACTGCTGTTTACCATGAGGGTCTAGTGACACCAAGCATCCTGCAACATGCAGGACTATCACACATTTCTCAGTATTTTGCCATACAACATGCTATCAGCACCTCTTTAGAAAAAGGCTGCAGACCCTTTGTGTCAGACCCCTGTGCTGGCATTGGGATTTCTCCTTCCTAAGATACGATGTTCTGGAGGACACACCGGGAGCCCATTCCCTCGTAACATTCTCAAAAGCACTTCACTGCATGGCCGAGGAAACATGACGTGCCCAGAATAGAATGGACTGTGACTGTAGCACATTGATAAGCAAACAGCTTCTGTACACACGTTCTCTGCCACAGCCACAGCTAAACCAACCACAAACATTTGAAATGCCATAGCAGCCCATGAGGAAGCCTTCCTGATGTAGTTCCTGCTGCCATCCTCTAGACCTGCTGCCTTCCGATAGCCTCTGAGTCTTGGGAGAGAAGCTGCATCTCTTGAGACTCTACATCTGTCCCTCCCAGACCAAAAGGCATTTGTCTATCTCAGCGTGCAGGTGAAAGGGAGCCACCGGAGGGCCTCACGCAGCCAAATGACCTGATCGGACTTGCATTTTCAAAGGCCCCTGACAATCCCAGGAGCGGGGAAGACTCTATGACTGAGAGCCCAGGTTCACAATCGCTGCTGAGGGTAGAGACGCAGCCTAAAGGCAGAAAGGCTAAAGACTGTCCAGATTTCCAGTCATGCTAGTAGGACTGCAGTGGACACCAACTTGGAAGTAGAAATTAGAAACAGGCCAAGATAAAACAGGTAGAATTTGGTGACAATGGAGTGTGTGAGGGTAGGTGGAGTTCCTGGCCGCAGGTCCCGCTGGACGGCAGGACAGAGAATAGCAGGAAAAGCAGAGAAGGGTCAGGCATGAGGATGAATCAAGTCCCAGACGTGTATTTGTTGTGCAGAAAAATAATACAGTTAGATGCAAGTAGAAAACACCAGCATAGGAACTGACTGAATAACTTGGATTACAGACCCAAAACAGAAACATTTCTCATATTCAACCAAAGTGAACCAGCGCCAGCACAGAGAATAAAATAATTATGTGTACAGATCTGGCTCCTGGCAGGAAATAGCCCTAATTTAGCTAACATTTCAAGTTTTTTTACTCCAACTATTGGTCTCTTTCTTGAGGAAAAAAAAAAAAATAATCAGGCCTTTGAAGAGTTAGCTGATTTTTATGTGAAGGATTTGTACATTTTGAACCCCTTTGCCAGGAATCGATACTGTCTTATAATTACATGTCACTCAGGTCCCCGCGCAAGGTGTATACAGTATTGATTGCAACTCAAGTGCGTCCTGGCTTCCCAAGTACTCAGTAGTTTCTGAGAAAGACACTCAAAAGTGACTAATAATTAATAATGATCTCACTCGGATCAGCTGCTGCTAACGCGTGGAGGCATCTGCCAGGGCTTGGGTTCCTGCGGCGAGGCTGGGAAAATAAATCACTTCCCCAACATTCTGAGGGCACCCTGCCAATTTCCAGATGCTGTGTCTTCATGTTAATTCCCTTCCTGAAAAAATGTTTGCTCTCTCTCCTCCTGAGCCTGGGGCTGGTTTGAGGGAGGGGACATGCCAAGTCATGTCAAAGAAATACCAGGTCCCTGGCCTCAGGCAGACACCTTTACAAAGCCTTGAAGACACTTGCTGAAAGCAGCTCTTTGAGGGTAAGGATAGTGCTTGATTTCCTCTGTACCCTCCACCCCCACCCCCAGGCAGGGCCTGACACCTGGCAGATGTACATAGGACTTTATTGAACTGAGCAGAGTAAGAAACTTGAGGGAAAAGAAGAAAGCACAGTGTCCTTTCAAATTTCTTTGCAGCATTTTCCCTCCTATCAATACTTACGGTTTATACACACTATACCTTCTATTAGGGTTAGAGTATGTCTTAACAACTTTGCAATCTAGGTTGAAAGCTATTTGAGAGCACGGTTACTGTTCTACTTGTTTTTATTTCTCATTGTTTCCCATATTGGGCCTGCTACTACTGATACTGTTGCACTGAATACTGCAGACTGGGTAAGTAGGAGAAGAGGTGAAAGCTTTGCAGAGCTTCGGACCAGACCTTTGCCCTTCAATGTCCTTCTTAGCCCTTATAGGCCAGAACATTTTCTTTGTGTGTTGAGGGCTGGAGAATGTTCTAAAGACAGCCACCTACAATTGGCACTAGCATATACCTATTTGCCTTCTTGGAGAATGGCATGAAAATAAAATAAGGGAATGAAAGTCTAAGATGGAAACAATGGGAAAGGGGAGAATCAAATAGTATTCCTAGATTTTATTCAAATTATGCATAATGATGAGTGGTCCTGCTACCAAAAAAGAATGGCTTAAACCAACTACTCTAAAACTGCTTAGAAGTATATTTTCATCCATATCTTCTTATAGGTATTAAGGAAAGTTATATTCCTTAAAATTAGACATTCAGTGTGTTCTTAATTTCTTCCTGGTGGAAGATTGACGGTACCTACTCTGAACATTTTCCTGACTAAAATCATTGCTGACTTACTCCACATATGAGTAGCATCAGGGCCTTCCTGTCCCTTTTGTCTTCTGTTGGTGTTTGCCAAGAATGATTTTTTTGAGGACAGTTTTTTATTTTTAAATTTAAAAATTTTTAATTTTAAAAGCATTTATGATTGACATAATAATTATACATATTTACAGGGTACAATGTGCTGTTTAGATACATGAATAAATTATGTAATGATCAAATCAGGGTAATTAGCATACCTATCTCCTTAAACATTTATCATTTGTGATTGAGAGCATTCAAAATCCTCTCTTATATAGCTATTTTGAAAGATACAATGTATGAATATTATTAACTCTTGTCATCCTACTATGCTTTAGAACACCAGAACTTATTCCTCCTATCTCACTGTAGCTTTGTACCCACTGACCGATCTCTCACCATTTCCCCCATCCCAATCTTTTTGTAGTCACTATTCTATTCTCTACTTCTATGTGAATGATGTTTTAGATTCCACATGTGAGTGAGAACATGTGGTATTTGTCTTTCTGTGCCTGGCTTATTTCACTTAATATGATGTTCTGCAGGTTCATCCATGTGGCCACAAATGACAGGATTTCATTCTTTTTTATGGCACAACAGTATTCCATTGTGTGGATATACCACATTTTCTTTATCCATTCATCCTTTTATGGACACTTAGGTTCATTCCACATCTTGGCTATTGTGAATAAAGTTGAGCAAACAGGAGTGCAGATAAACTCTCCAACACACTGGTTTAATTTTGAAGGATATATGCACTGTAGCGGGATTGCTGGATCTGGGTATCTATTGAGGACAGTTTTGATTCTCCCCATGGCTGTTCCCCTTAGGCCACCTCTAGGTGGAGGCTGTGTGGCTGCACTTTCAAGCATGTGGACTGGTTAGTTAATGTTAATGAGAAAATATCAATCCTGTCCTCCTGCTCAGAGGATCTGCAAAGGTAATACATTTATTCCAAATTGACTATGTGAAATTTCTTCTCTTTAAATTCTTGCAAGAGAATATCACCTCAACCCTTAAATACTTAATTCCTATTAAAGACCTAGTTGTAAGAAACAATCCTCACGGATGTTTATCATGAAGACTGTGGTGTTGGTCTTTTTCTCCTTTGTTTCTTTAAATGCTCTTCTTAGATTACCTTAGATCAGCAGAAAGGCGTACACCTGCACCGGGGTGCCCTGGCTCTCGGGGAAGTGACTTTGATGAACTGCTGTGCTGCAACACTGCCCTTATGTTTCAGAATAGCTGAATAAAGCCAACCATTGCATTTACAGTAGGAACATCGCCTCAGACATTATTCACAGCACTACTCAACCA